GCAGTTATCAGTGAACTCAAAACAGGACTGGTGGTGATGAGCAGTTAAGTTCAACTTTTAATTTCTATTTCCCAAATGTTTTTTTCCAACTATATTAACATGCTCACCTACTTGCCCATGTAAGTGAGGTGTCATGGGCACTTCAGTGCAGCTGAGGCTTTGGAAGTGAAGATCCCGTGACTGGGGAGGTGAGAAATGTGATACAACTATCTCCAGATACAACAAATATCTATATCCTGTGCTACACAATCAGAAGTACACTTCCAAATCAAACTTCTAATGATTTCTGTAAGGTGTTGCCAATTCTGAAGTTCCTAGACTAGTTTCACTCATTATAGAGCTCACTAACAGCTCATCATGTTCAGCTCCACAGAGAGGGACCTCGGGGTCCTGGTTGACAAAAAGTTAGGCATGATGCAGCAGTGTGCCCTCGTGGCCAAGAAGGCCAATGGGATCCTGGCTGCATCAGGAGGAGTGTTGCCAGCAGGTCAAGGGAGGGGATCCTGCCCCTCCACTCAGCTCTGGTGAGGCCACCCCTGGAGTATTGTGGTAGCTCTGGGCTTTCCAGTATGAGGGACGTGGAGCTTCTAGAGAGGGTCCAGTGGAGAGCAACAAAGATGATTAAGGGAATGGAACATCTATCATATGAAGAGAGACTGAGCTGGACCTGTTTAGCTTGGAGAAGACTGAGAGGRGATCTGATCAATATGTATAAATACCTGAGGGGAGAATGTAGGGAGGAAGGGGCCAAACTCTTCTCCTTGATGGCCAGTGATAGGACAAGGGGTAATGGGTACAAGTTGAAACACAGGCAGTTCCATYTSCATGTGAGGARGAACTTCTTCACTGTGAGGGTGACAGAGCCCTGGCACAGGCTGCCCAGGGAGGCTGKGGAGTCTCCTTCTCTGGAGGTCTCCAAACCCGCCTGGATGCCGCCCTGTGCCCCGTGCTCTGGGTGTCCCTGCTGGAGCAGGGGGTTGGACTGGATGATCTCTAGAGGTCCCTTCCAACCTCAACTATCCTGTAATTCTATGACATTTCTGAATATTTGGGATGAGATTTCTACTGTAACTAGATTTGTGTCTAATTCTGTCTAATGGTGTCTAATTTGTGTCTTGATCCCTGATTAAGTATAATCAAATTCTTGGATGTATCAAACCATAGTAGACTTTTCAAAAGTTTATGGCTGCAACTCTTTTCTAAACATTCTTCAGCTATTCTATACAAAACAAAAGAAATAAATAATAATTAAAAAACAGTRCTGGCCAGGCAGCAAAATATTCTGGGTTGTTGTTTATTGCAGCAGACAATTTAGGCAAAACTTTCCACTGATGTAAATTTTGGTAGCTCCACTGAAGGCTCCTCCATGATGTTGAGGTATGAGTGCAGCAAAGTGCCTTCTGAAACACAACCTTTTTGATTTTGCTTGCAGGGGACAGTGGTCTTGAAACTTAATTTTTAAGACTTTACTTGCAACTTCCAGGAAAAGAGAGATTCTGAAGATCTTCTTTTCAGGATATTTTTGGAAATTAGCAACTCTGAATTTCTGATACAATTTGGCCCTTGTAGGCCTTGCTGTATTGGCACTTTCAACTTGTTATATATCTATATTTATTATATATGTGAGTGTATATGCACACACACATGCACACTTCAGCTTCTTTTTACTGAACATAAAGCATATTCAAGCTGTGCAAGTACTCAGATACTCAAAATTGATGGCATTTAACCTCAGTACTTTCTCTGTACCCTGGGTAACCGTCTTTGTGTGTTTAACCCCTTTTCCTCCACAGCTTTTTACTTTCCTTCCTTCCTTTGCTATAGCAAAGTCCCTGGAAGGAGACTGAGAAGCTCTCTGGGTTCTGATTCAGCAGACCTGTACATTATGAGGATTCCAAATTCCCAGTGACCTGRAACAAAGAGCTATATTTATTTGCCRCACAATAAGGGGATAGTTCGGTGCATGACCCTATGAAAATTGGATGAACATGTTTGCATTTGCTGTAAATGTGATTATTATCAGAGAGCACAGTCCGTCACTCCTAATAGCCCTGAGAAGTTAAAGAGGGCTATTAATTATGAATGCAGGTGTTCACACAGAGTTCTTATATAACTGTAGTGAAGAGATTTGGGTGGAGCTAAAAATGTGAGAAAAAATAAGATTATAAGATTTTTGTATATTTTTATCTTACCAAAAATAGTATGTGCTGTTCATGTTGGTTAAAGCCGTAGGACTGGCTTTTCAAAAGCTCAGAGAATTGCACTGAAAGGTTCACAGAGAATTTTATCGAATGGTCCGTCTCAGATTGCCACACAGCATCCATGTATTGTATGCACTTTTAGCCCTCAAATGTCATTTTYCTTTTTCTTGAACTAGAGAGTTACTGTCTTCTCTCAGCTGACGTTATATTGCCTATAATGACATACATAATTAGTGTTTTTTTCCCTAATGCCTTGTTTATTGTCACTGGGTTACTGTAAATGTTAGATGAGCTGATGGGACTACTCTGTTAGTAAGTTGACACTGTTACTGTTACCATTGCGTTGGAGCGGCTGATATGTGAGCTTCTAAAATGTAGGGAAAAGTTGCTTCAGAAYTGCTGAAGCTGCTCTGCAGAAATGCAGTCGCTGCACCCATGGGCCCACATTTGCACAAAACTTCCACTATTTATATACTTGCAGCTGAAGAGGTAGGATGCCTGATGCTGGGCAGTCCTAGCTGCGAAGCAAAGCACATTCCCCTGCCTGTCTTTCCTCAAGGAAAGTGTCCGCCCGCTACCATGACTTGCGCTCTAGGTTTATGATACTCTGCTACCAGTGACAATGTCACCTTCAGATCTTCTTGCCTTGCACTTTCGCTGCTCCCCAACCCTCCAGCTCGTTCCCACCCACAGTAGGATATGCCATCACTGGCATCCCAGTGTTTTGTGGGATGGGGGTTATAAAATAAATCGCTGACTTGGCTTCAGTTAAAAACAACACATAAAAAGTGGGTGGGAAATCCTTTAGCTGTCATCTCTACTGAAGTTGATGTATCATGAAATTAGGCCCTCAGCTAAAGCATGGAARTTAGGTTGCTAATCCAGTCATGACTCAGTAGTGTCTGATCACATGCCCAGATCCAAAGACAACAAGTCTTCTTTAAGATGTCTTGTTTATATACATTTAAATATATTTTTCTATATTTTGTATGAGGGACTTAGCATGTCTCAGATACRGATTTTTTTTTTTTCATTTTCTCCCAGGCCTGAATTGAAGAAGTTGCTCTCTAAATTTCGAGATTAAGGCATTGCCCTACCCATGACTTTCCTCATACTACTCTCACTCTCCTAATTTGTTCCTCTGAATAGTGTCATCTGTTCCTTTCCTACACAAATCAGAGCTATATCAGTATATCTAGTTAATATATCTATATCAAACTATATTAATATTTCTAACAGCAAATATAACAGTCTTGTCAGTGTTTTAGGAGGTGGGGAGAGGGAGAGATCTCCTGAAGACAAGTGCTCCGCATAGAATCATAGAATGCCGAAGGCTGGAAGGGACCTCAGAGGTCATCGAGTCCAACCCCCCTGCTCACGCAGGGTCACCTAGAGCACGTGGCACAGGGCTGCATCCAAGCGGGTTTTAAAGATCTCCAAAGAAGGAGACTCCACAACCTCTCTGGGCAGCCTGTTCCAGGGCTCTGTCACCCTCACTGTTAAGAAATTTTTCCTTAAGTTCCTGTGGAACTTTTGGTGCCTCAGCTTGTGGCCGTTTCCTCTAGTCCTATCCCTGCCCACCACTGAAAAGAGGCCGCCCCCTCCTCCTCACTGCCTCCCTTGAGGAATTTATGCACACTCCAGGCTGAGCAGGGCCTGAAGAGCCCCGAGCTGGGGTGGCACCAGCGTTGCGTGGTTCTGGGTGCCAGCGGATCTGCTGYGGCACTGCCCGACGTAGCTTCCCCCGCAGCCTTGATGCTTCATTAACACAGAAGGGAGGTTTGGAAGGTGAGCAACAATACTGTAAGAGTTCCAATTTCTGTACATATTTCCCCCCACGCGGATCCCTTATTCCCCACAGATATATGCATATGATTTAGACCCCAAGGTCTAAAGTCTCTGACAACCAGTTCTTAAAAGAGTTTGTAGAATTTTTGTTTGTTTAAAAACACTTCACATCAATGGCAATAACTGATTTTACAGTCTTTGAAGTATTAAATCCCCTTCTTTTCTGGCAGGGTTGAAGTTTCAATGATACCCATGAAAGCAGCTCCCTCTTCAGGAGCTATTCGAAACTCCCAACGTTTGGAAGATGCATAAAAGTACGGATACTCAAARGGAATGCAACTGAGAACGGCAGGCCTGCTGAGCATCATGGTCTCTTACTGACATTTTCTAAAAATAAGAATATAGGAAAATTGTACTTGATAACAAAAAAGAGACCAAAAGAAAAAAAAAAAAAGAATTTAAAGAATAAAAGGTACAATTTGACACTAGGAATAAAAGCAGTGCACAAATGCTGTGACAAAGAGGAAAACAAGCAAGAAAAAGAAACCTGGAGCAGAGTTGACTTATTATCTGTCAATAATAAAGAGAGCCTTGAAGTACTTTGATTTTATTTATTTACATTAGCACTACTAGAATCACTGAATCCAGTATGTTTTGGGTTTGCTTTTTCGTATTTTGACGTGCAACCAACCGTGGAAAAGGCACCCAGCTCCCTGATGCCAGGCATGGCTGCGGCCTGATGCCCCGTGCGCAGCAGGGAGCCCTTTTCCCGCTGCTCTCACTATTTTTTACAACATTTTCCTGACGACAGGGACAAATCCCCACACGGCGACGGGGCCCCCGCGCCGACCCCGTCCCGCGCGACGGGAAGGGAGGGGTCGAGCGGGAAGCCCCGCCTCGCCACCAAGCCCCGCCCCCTGGGCTGGCGGCAGCCAATAGCGGCTCTCAGCTGCCGCGCCCCGCCCTCGGCGCGGCTAATCCCCGCGGGGCGCATGCGCGCGCGGCTCTCGCGAGAGTTTCCGYGCAGGGATACGCGATGCTTGCCGGGAGCGCCTTCCTTTCTGGCTGCCCGGCCATCTTGGCGGCGCGTCTCGGGTGAGCGGGGCCGGGCCGGGGGCGCGGGCGGGCGCGCGGGGCCGGGCCCGGGGCCGGGCAGTAACCGCCTCCCCATCYCTGTCTTCCAGTTCCCGCCCGACCCGCCACGAGGCAGCAACATGGTGGCCGCCAAGAAGACGGTGAGTGGGAGCGGCGGCCTCACGTGGCGGGCGGCCCAGGCGCGGGGGAGGGCCCGGGGCAGCGCTCGCCGCGGCCGGCAGGTCGCCGTTCCTGCCGCTCTCTGTGCGTGCCTCGCGCCTAGAGCTGCCCCGGCAGGTGCGGGTGGGCGGTGGGGCTCTCCTTGTGGACCCAGTCGCTTGCCTTGGCCAGCAGCCTGCCCTCCGCAGCGCCCGCTCGCGCTGCAGGGACCGGCGGGCGCTGGTGACAGCCGCGGTGGGCCCAGTGCGGGCCCTGGGATGCGGCCTGTGCCCTTCCTGCCTCCGGTTTTCCTGATGGAAGGAGCACTTGCTTTGACTTGGCTAAATGAGCTTTGCCCAAGGTAATCAATGCGCCAGAACTGATTACTACTGAGTAGTTCAGACAGCCCCGATAAATGAATAAATCTCCTTAGGACTTCCATGAATTTTAAAATATGTGGATAAAGGTTATTTTGACGATGTTGGGGAGAGTTGTGTCAGTTTAAGTATGCTATTACCTTTGCCCACAAGTGTTGTGTTAATCATGTAGTAATTGTAGCGCTGTCATTATTGCTGTGTGCTGCAAATGATACAGAAATAATGGAAAGAAAACCTGTGGTTGCAATTTCTGTATGCTGTGCCATCTTGTAAAAGGCAAGGGCATGTACAGTAATGCTTTTCTGCCTCTTTCAGAAAAAGTCGCTAGAGTCCATAAACTCCAGGCTTCAGCTGGTTATGAAAAGTGGTAAATATGTGCTGGGGTACAAACAGACTCTGAAAATGATCCGGCAGGGCAAGGCCAAGTTGGTCATCCTCGCCAACAACTGTCCCGCTCTGAGGTAGGTCATTAACACAGCAGTTCCCCTTAAATTTAGGGCAGGTCCKTTGCACAAATGTGGCTCATGCCTCATGGTATTTTCTCTAGTGAAGTGTTAATGCAGAGCACTGGCGTGTTCCAGTCTGCTCTGAAGAAAAAGTGGAGAGGGGGAAGAAAAAAAAAAAAAAAAGAAAAACACCTTACAACTCTAGATCTGCATACGTTCGAATGCTTCTTGGTTGTTTTCTAGCTTCACATACTACTAAGATTTTATGTTAGAGGAGATATATTTTCATGCCGTGACAGCATTCATTGGAAGTGTAACAGTACAGGATAGGGTTTTTTTGCTGCCAAAGAGGTACATTCGAAAAATGAACTTAGAGCTATAGTGACACTGGTTTTGTATTTAAAGAATAGATACAAGAAACTGCCAGATAATGCCTGAGAAAGGGCGGCATTGTTACAGTGCTCTTATAAACCTGGAGAGAGCTTGTGGAACAGTGTTGACCACTGGAATTTCCTGGTGGAAGTGAACAGGTTGACTTTAAAAAGTGCACAGTTCATCTTGCAGGCAGAGGCAGCCAAATCGATTCARCATTTAGCCACGTATCAGCATTAATAGTGGTTGTAGTTGATGCAGCTGGTATAGCTTCTATTATTATTTAGAAGTTTGGAAGTCTTGGAAGAAAAAACACGAATGTTTATGTGTAGGAACTAYTTAAAGGGTTACAAGTGAGCTGTGGGCTTGCTGCTGCGCATCTTCAACATGCTTCTGGGTAAGGTTCCAGAGTTCAGATAAGATTTTTGCCTGGCCATAAATAATTAAGTGTTTTTTTTTTTTTTTTTTCCTCTCTGAAGTGGAGGAAAAAACTCACAGGACTTGAGTAAGACTGAGTTAAATTCTCTGCCTACTAAGAAAAATCAGAATTGTTTTTCAGTACTTYAATACTTGTCCTTTGAATTTCAGAAAATCAGAGATCGAGTACTATGCTATGCTTGCAAAGACTGGCGTCCATCACTATAGTGGCAACAACATTGAGCTGGGTACAGCGTGTGGGAAGTACTACAGAGTGTGCACGCTGGCCATCATTGACCCTGGTACGTGTCCCTGGCCCTGGGCTCGCTGCTGCCCTCCCGACCTGCTCGCAGCACTGAGGTTGCGAGGAGGTTTTTGTGCTGCAGAGCTGCTGCTTGGCTGGCAGGAAGCTTTGCAGGGTGTGCTGTTGAGACAGGCTGCTAGAAAACCAACTTGTGAGGCAGACTTTCTGTCTCAGAGTCTTTTGACCATTGCTGATGTAAGATGGATGGTCACTATAATTCTGCTTTCCAGAGTGATGTGTAGGAAATTAAGCTATATATATATATATATATATATATCTCTATATAAGCATATAGATATCTACATAGCATATATTATTATCTCGTATATCTTAAATGTCGTATATATTATATATTTACGTATATATCTTATATAGCATATATAGTATTTATATAAGCAGATAGTTAAATATGTTTTACTTTAAAATAAAAAATTGTGCATAGTTACTATAGGCTGGTATCAGCCTTTGTCCAAGACAGTTGCTTCAGTTCTCTGTGACTTATCCAAGAGTTTCCACAGTGAAGTCCAAATACTTCTATATGAAGAATCAAATACTTTTTCATTCCTGTTAGCTGGAATTTTGTTTGTTTTAATTTTAGTTAAAAGAGTATGTATAGATTTAATGGTTTCTGTATTAATTTTTGCTAAATGTTTCCCAAGGAAAATCAAATTCACTGTGATTTTAAGTTCATTTTAAGAAAGACTTACTTAGCTTTTTTGGTATTCAAATACTAGCTGTAAACTTTAATATCTTCATGAGTTTTTGGCTGTCATGTTAGGACCTTTATGTTAAGCTGTGTGTAAGCTAAGGAACTGCAATTAAATCTAAAATTTCCATGCGAATATTCTCGCTGTCCTGATATTTTGGTGATCAGGGGAGGCTAGACATTCGCTATATTAAAGCTAACTATTGTGTCCGCCAGGACTAGATTGCTGTTCTAGTGCTGGCTTTGTAAATGCTAGTGACAAGTATATAATTATCCTGAATATATGTTAGATTCTGTGCTGATGAGCAAACTGCAGTTACAAGTACTTTTATCAAGCCTCAAAATTCCTTTGTTTCCAGATAGGTTTTCTTTGCTCCACGTCATAGCTTTTCCTGTTTGTGGAATTGCAGTTTGTTAATGTTGTGGGGTTAACTGTTGAAAACAGACCTTGCTGTGGACCCTTTTGTAAGAATATATATTTTTTTTGTTTTACAGGTGATTCTGACATCATTAGAAGCATGCCAGAACAAACCAGTGAGAAATAAATGCTCTAAAGGTGTTTTCTACAATAAAACTGGTTCCAGGTCCATTTTAAGAAAAGTTTGTATTATATCTTTGCTGGTTTTAGGGGACAAACTATATAAAACAAAGATTAATTATTGCTGCTCTATTTCTTCTGTTAGAAATACCTTCACAGAATGAAGCTTGCCTAGTACTTTCTTGAAGTTGTGCATTTCAAAGGGTAGTAAAATAAGGGTTGTGCTAGGTAAGTATGGTATCAGATCCCAGCAAGGCTTAGATTTTGGGTTTGCAGTGCTAACACAAAATAAGCTTTTAAAATGGCCAGTTAAAATATGAATGAATGCACAACATTAAAGGAGTTAAAGGAGCAGATTTGTGATTTAGTGGTGAGGGGAAATCTAAGCTTGTATTAAAACCAATTGAAACTTTTTTATTAAGCTGGTCACATAGTACTAGTAAAAATAGCAAATAGTGTAGCTCCTGGGTGTAGTGTATACTATCAGTAAGATGAAATTAACTTCTCAAAGGTGGTCTGAATTGAATCTCTTTTTTAGTTGATGAAGGTGGCAGGTTAGAGATGGGCAACTGCACTAGTGGTGAAGGCATCAGTGTTTCCTGCATGTGGGCCAGTTACTCTGCAGCCACTCAGACAAATTTCTTAATGTGGTGTCAGTGCTTTGCTAAAAGGGGATGAAGGGAACTCCAAGCAAACCTCTGGATGTTYTCGGAGAATTTGCATTCTGCTTGCCAAAGAATGTTAAAACACAAAGTACACTTTAAAAACAGCTGTTGAGAACCTATGGACAGTTACTTTCTGTGAGATAACTTTATGTGGCCTCTGCCAGTTACTGCTGCTCCCAGTATAAAATGGGTGAAGTTGTGAATTTCCAATTACAGCCAAATTCACTAATGTGCATTGAAACAAGTAATTGTTGGTATCCCTAGCTATGTAAGCCCAGATTTGCCACAGTCCCAGAAAGTATGGAAGTAAAGCTAGCAGAAAAGTGCAGTTACTTCCTGTTGAGAGAAACTTCAAGGCCTTTCAGTCWGCAGCATGCCTGGAAGTGATTTGCTGGTTTTGAGGCTCAGTTTTTGACTAGTAAGTGTGCTGCACGTTGCATTGCCAACAGAATGGTTTCCTAAGTAAAATGCTGCTTGTGCTCAGGAGAGTTCCAGGATTCCTGAAGCTGACCAAGGTCTGGAAGAGTAGGGAGAAGTAACCTGGTCTGAGTATGGTGAGAGAGAGGTACTTGGACCTGCAGGTGGTAATACCATGATAATCCAGCAGGCTTTCCACTTCCCTCATTTACTTTCATCAGATGTATGAACATGTGTTTTCTCTTGCAAATTACTTAATTGATTGACATTTTATGGAAAGGATGTATGAAAACCTAATTGTGAATTAGGTGCCACACTTGTTCTGTAACTCTGTGTGTGTATGTCCTGGCACAGGCTGCACAGGGAGGTTGTGGAATCTCCTTCTCTGGAGGTCTCCAAACCCGCCTGGATGCCGCCCTGTGCTCTGAGTGTCCCTGCTGGAGCAGGGGGTTGGACTAGATGATCTCTAGAGGTCCCTTYCAACCCCRGCCATCCTGTTATTCTGTGATCTCCAYGCAGATATGGTGTTTGAAATAGTGTAGCAAATGCAGGAGGGAAGCCCAGAACAAAATAAGAGCATGAATATGAATACCTAAAAATCCTTCAAAACATGGACGTTTCACTTCAAAAATAACAGTATTTTATTATTTTGCATAGCTTATTTCAGCTGTTTAGTTCTACTTAATTAGAACTTTTGCTAGTTACTAAATTGTTTATACATATAAAATTTTTTCACCGCTTCTTACCTGCAATCAATGCAAGACAGTACATGTCATATATAAATGTGAGGGTCCAAAATGTTCCAACTTCAGACACAAGAATTTGTTAATTACTTTGAGCTCTTGTAACAAAATAGCTCTTACAACTTTGTATAAATATACAGTGTAGTATATACTTCAAATTTTCATCGATATCTTAGTCTGTTTTCCAAGTCTTCCATTCTCTTYGTCATTTCTTCCAGTAAGCAAAAGTTAAGGAAAGAGGTATCAAAAATAGTTATTAGCAAAGCAATCTGTCAGATGCCCATTAACAGTTTTCTGCCCACTCTGAATTTGAAGATGAARCTATTTCTAGACTCTCCATACTGCAGTATTTAGCTTTTTAGAAGGACTGGTCTTCAGAGCCATGTCCTGCAGTGTTCCAGCTTTTTGCGTTTCTCTGTCACTGACTGAATTGCTGCTTGATGCTGGAGAGGGTTGCTTAAGAAGTTAATCCTGGTTGTGAGTTTGTGGTCCATAAATTKGGTCCTATTTTTACTCTTTAGTACCTCTCCCTCTCTGACTTCCCGTTGTTTAATACCCTTATTTTCTTGTTCTGCTTTATTCAGCCGWGCTGGGAAGGCTGTGTGAAGCCAGCAGTGCCTCTGAGCAGGAATTTAGGACTGTGCCTTTTTGGAAAGGAAAACTGTTGGCTGTTCTCCCTCAATTTTAAGGGGAAGCTAAATGTTTATTGTAGCTAATTCTGTGCGGAAGCAGTCACTGTCACCTACAGAACTATCTGTAAGCTCTGAGCAGATGAAACAACGTGTGTAGCTCCATGGCTGCAGCAGCGATGGCTGCTGATCTCCAGGCCCATGGCGGTGCAGGCAGGTGCTGGGATGCTCTGGAACAGTGGTGCCCTGGCAGGGAGATGTGGAATAGAGTAAGTGAACACCAGGGCTCTGCTGGAAGGAGGAAGCTGCAGCGCTCCGGAGCTTCCCGGATTCCTGTCTGTGCACGGTGCCTGTGCCTGCTGTGGGAGGGGGAGGCTCCTCTTCCATTTACCCCAGAGCCACGGGAATGCTGCAGAGCTGGAGCTGGGAGAGCCTGAGGGGAAGCTGCGACCTGGCAACAAAATGTCTCTGATAATGAGACTACTCTTGCAGGACTCAGCTGCTGTACCCAAAWTTGCTCAGTCCTTTTTCTACTGGAATTTATAGCCCTCATTTGAACATTGTAAGGTGTTAAATAATAAAAAAGGGAGAGAACCTCATTGTACACGCATGTCTAATAGCAGTGAAGTCCTTCACTAGCAAATTAGCTAGTTGCAGGTCAGCRTATGTATGTAGTGCCTACAGTGAAGCTGCATTTTAAGAGCTGGAAGCTTTTTGTGCTCACTTCTTTCCTTCCCTTCCTTCACTGCTGCTTCTTGGTTTTCCTGTGTCTCTCAAAGATTCCAGCCACGTGATCCTTACACCTCTTTTYCATATATTCAGTAAATACATTTTAGTCCTGAGTTGATGAATGTTGGTTTCACTTGCTGCTCTTCTGGCCTGCTCATCTGAGGTGCTTCTCCTATGGAGGCCAAGGTACATTAAATACTCTCCTCAACATACCTCCAGCTTGTCATAGGACGAGATTTACCTGCATATGCTTGTAGTAGTGAAACCTTTTTGCCTACACCTGCTCTCGGACAAAACGTACTTGGAATTTGAATGCACTAGTTAAATGCTATGTTGAAGGCAAAACTGCAGAGGGCTCTGTAAGACTGGCTATGATAGACTCTTAACTCCACTGTTCTTGCCCAGGAAGCATCTAAGTTACTTAAATCACGGCGCCCTTCTGTGCAGAAAGTTAGCCCCTATTGATCTTATATGCCATTTTTACCAAGACTTGAATAGAAGATGTGAGTTGAAGAAGATACCCAGCTTTTATGAAGAAAATAAAGAGGATTTTGCTGCATGTTGCTTAATGCAAAATACTATGAAAAGCAGAATTGCCAATTTACTTTTTTCTTGTGAGACATCTGGAGGATGTTACAGGTATTTTTACCAGTTACAGCTACAGGTTAGTATAGGCTTCTGCACCGACTCCCTTAAACCCAAGTTCCTTTCCTTCAAAAAAGGCCCAAGTCAGCACTTAACCCTTTTTACTCTGCATATTTGATTCTGTGAAATCAGACCCCACGTCCTCTGAATGTGTCTCTAGACTTTGGAATGCTGTTTTAAATAGCTCACAGCATATGGTGCTGTGCCTAGCAGTTCAGGAGAAAAATATCTCCAGTATTCTGATGCAGTGGTTTCCTGTAGACAGTAAGTGCTGTTTTGATACTATCTCAAGAAGTAGAATAACCAAAACAGAGTAGTAGGCTTGAATTCTATCAATTGTTAAGGTCTTTGCTATCATTGAAGGTGTTTTGCTGTTAGGGTTAATTTGAAATTTAGATTCTTACTAATATTTTTGTCTCTTCTCTGAAGGAGAGGTGGATTTCACGTCCACCAGTTTTAACATTACGAAGTAGTTTGGCTCTTCATTAAAGCAGACAGGTCTGAACACATGGAGGCAGCTGAGATTTGATGAGTTATATTAGTAATTCCTCTTGGCCTGTTCCCATTTACAAGAAACAGTCTGAAAGGATATATCGCTGGGTGAGTTTTTTTACTTCTGTGGTTGCGTAGTTCTGGAATGTCACAAGGTTTTCACATTTGCACTGGTCTTTATCTTTTGCAGCTTTTGCTTAGAGAAAAAAAAAAAACACTTGAGCATACACTTAAAATACTGAATAAATCCAAACGGTGGGGAAGGGATGACAAGGATGTCTAAATGCAGAAGGGATTTAGTACAGCTTCCTGCTCTTGAAACAAGTCAGCATCCAAAGGAATGCTACGGGGAACACATTTTAAATACTGGGAAATAGTACACAACACTTTGTAGTGTGTATTCAAAGAGCAGTCTGGATTATCTAAACAAAGATAACCTGATTACCTGTTATTGTTGAGTAAGTGAGAATGTCTTCAAAAAGATACTTATGGTGTACTGCAAAATTGGGGCAGGCAAGGACATCTATGATGGCTACCGTGTCTGATTCAGGTCCTGTAGGAAACCCCCAAAAGATCTGGAAGTCAAATCTGCTTCACTTGCGATTACACAGTATTTTTCCCACTGCCATGCACTGAKTCTCCTTAAGGAGAGTGTAATCTCGCTGGTTGCAGTGAGGATCATTCATGGAGAGGACTAGTGCTAAAGAGGTGAAGTAACCAAGCTGTTAAATTGCGTATACAGTGAACACAGCCTAAGCTGTGGGTTGCAGAGCTGGAAGGGCRTTGTGAAAGTTTGTCAGTCACTTTAGTGCTGATGAAACAGAAGTGSTGGAAAGTTGAACATGCTTTGAAGCGGAGTGCTGCAATGCAAGTGTCCCCTTCAAGTAATTCATTTGGATGGTGTAACAAGGGAGCAAACAGCCATGCGTTCAGTGTAGCAACTCTCAGACATTGCTCTGTGTAAAGCAACTCGCTGAGCTCACTTGCAATGGAAAGGAGAAGGTTTCCTGGCTAGTGGAGGGACACAGACCTCGCTAGGGTTGTCTGCAGAAGAGGCAGCTTAGTGAGGAGCCGCGGGAGAGCTAACCTGAAGGGTCCGCATCGGTCTTGTGAAGTGTCCCAGATGGCGGCTGTGGCTGCGGAGCTGAACCTTGCAAAGCTGGCAGAAAAAAAATACCAAAGGGAATGAAATCATAAAAGCAGCAATACAAACTCTTTARTTCCCCAGAAATGGAGATGTTTCTTAACTAATTTTTTCTGTTGGTGCCTCTGTCATAAGATATTGGGAATGCCTCATACCTGTGCAGTCTGGAAAAGGCCCAGTGTCTGTGGAAGCTCCAGAACTCACCTTTCAGCTGAGGTTTTTGTAAGAATTCTTCCATAAGATAAACAACAGTGAAGAAATTTGAAGCTACGACAACCTACTTTGCTTTTAAGTAAAAATTTGTTATATGTTTTATTGTCATGTATCAGTTACATGGGGTGAACTGAATGAGAAGAAAACCTGTGTACAAAACAAAGTATTTTATTTGACTTCTGTTTTCTCCTTTCTAATGGARAATGTTGATCAGAATCTGTGTGTTTAGGTCAGTGCAATAGAATTTTTGTGGTGCACTGGAACAGCAAACAAAAATACAAGTTTCTCATTTGTGAATGAGCCTTTGTACTGCAGGAATTATTTTAGAATCCATGTAAGTGACGGAAATGTATTTCACAGGTAGRTGTAACCACCTGAATGAGTATTCTCAGTTTTTTCTTAAGAAGCACAGCTTTTGTTAAAAAAATATTGTTTTTAAAAAAATCCTTAAGTTTGTTTCTTAAGGGTTTCTTTTTAACAGAATGAACACTGCCTTCAGCTAGCTGTGGAGCTCGTAAGGGTTCAGAAAGCTAAAGAACATAAATTTAACAGCTGTGCRTCTTGATCCACRGTGCTAGAGGAACTGATGGAGCACSTAGGGCTCTCCCCACTTATTGACTCGGGGTTGCTTGCATTGAAAATGAAAACCTGAAGGAAAAGGGGTTGGTGCAAACTCTCCTGACGTGCCCTCAGGATGCAGCAGGAAGGTGGAAGATGCCTTTGGGCCTCATAGTTTTGTTACAGCTATTTGAAACTCTGATACCTTTGGTTTAGTGAACCTTGACAACAATACCTAGATGGCAAGAATATCTAGATGACCAAAGTGGCACGGGGACGGAGATGGGACRCTTGGTGTAGGGCCTAGAATGACCAAGYGTGAACAAGAAGAGGGAAAGAGCAGAGGTGACTGGTTTGGTAAGGACACCAGAAGTCAGAGGGATATGTCCAAATGCGGGAGTGAAAGCCAGCTCATGGGAGGAATGCTGAGATGATGAGAGAGTGTGAAGGGCAGAGAGGTGTGGGGTGAGACCATGGGGTAATGAAGAAGCTGAGTGACCGAGGAGTCAGGCATAAGAATGTGGAAGCAGAACGGTGAAATTCCAAATGTAGGAGGCAAGAGACAGGTAAGAAGAACCTATAGGAAGAGTTTGACCCAGAGTAACAAATTGATTTAGAAGTTGTTAACTAAAGGCTAATGGAGAAATTCCCTAGGAAGGGCAGGAGGGCTGAGATGGAAAGCCTGGACGAAGGGCTTACATAGACAAGGAAACTGGAATTCAAGTGTAAGGGACAGGAAACAAGGCTGATGTGTTGGCAGAGGTGACGCAGAAGGTTTCAGGCTTGGGATGGGTATTGGATCAGAACAGTCCTCTTCAGCTCTCAGAGTCTGGTTTGGAGAGATCAATGATCATTTAATAACTTCTATCGCAGCTGTGAAATATGAGTCAAATACAGATGAAGGCAGCTAACGCTAACACAGTCCTTGCCTGCAGTCAGTGCAGGCAGCAGAAATTCAAATCATGTCGGGGCACCATGTTAAGGTTGAATGGCTGTTTTTAGCTTTCTGCTTTGGAACAAACCCTAAACATGTTAGAAAAAGCCTATGTGAAAGTGAAGGACTTYGTCTTCCAAAGCAGTGGCTGCTTGTAGGTAGCAGTGATGTACACCTGCCTGCAGGTGGTTAGCTGAGTACTGCCATCTGACCACATCTGGGGTCTTGTGATTATAAAAATAAAGTGTTGCTATTTAATTAAAGGCTCCCATAATGTTTGGAGGCTCAGAAGARCGGAGAAGACACCATCTTAATGCATATTATGTTTGACCTTAGTGTAGTTTTTTAGTTCTTCCATTCAGATCAAAAATGAACGTTGAACAAGGCAATGGATGGACACTTCCTGACTGACTTCCTTTTAATAAGATGCAAAAGGGACTTTTTTTTTTTTTTTTTTTTTTTTTTTTTTTTTACTACTTTACTACTCTACCAAGCTGATATTTCCGTGCAAAATAAAAGGACAAAGTCTTATCCCCAGACATATTTAGGGGAGGCTCCTTTGCTTGGAGACATGCAGCCCGTGCCCAGCTGGGCCTGGGCACGAGGGGCTCCGGCAGTGGAGCCCATGGGCTGCTGCGGAGCGTCAGCGCTGCTCTCACAGGCCGGAGCCTCAGGAATCCTCAGCTCAGGACAAACACACGTGGAAGTCAAAATGAAACTAGTGTTGCGTAGAAGGGGGACMAAATTAGGATGACAAGATGACCCTGAGGCAGCAGTGTGCCCTGGTGGCCAAGAAGGCCAACGGGATCCTGGGGTGCATTAAGAAGAGCATCTCCAGCAGGTCAAGAGAGGTGATYRTCCCCCTATACACAGCCCTGGKGAGGCCACATCTGGAGACTGTGTCCAGTKCTGGGCTCCCCAGKACAAGAGGGATGTGGARCTGCTGRAGAGAGTCCAGCGCAGGGCTGCGAGGATGATCAGGGGCCTGGAACATCTGCCCTATGAGCAAAGGCTGAGGGAGCTGGGCCTGTTCAGCCTGGAGAAGAGRAGGCTGAGGGGGGACCTGATCAGTGTCTATAGATACCTCAAGGGAGGCAGTGAGGAGGAGGGGGCGGCCTCTTTTCAGTGGTGGMCAGCGATAGGACTAGAGGAAACGGCCACAARCTGAGGCACCARAAGTTCCACAGGAACTTAAGGAAACACTTCTTGACAGTGAGGGTGACAGAGCCCTGGAACAGGCTGCCCAAGGAGGATGTGGAGTCTCCTTCTTTGGAGATCTTTAAAACCCGCTTGGATGCTGCCCTGTGCTCTAGGTGACTGTGTGAGCAGTGGGGTTGGACTAGATGACCTCTGAGATCCCTTCCAACCTTAAGCATTCTATGATTCATTGATTCTATGAAATCTGCCTCGTTAGGAGAAGCTGAGCTTGCAACAAGGCTTGGAGGCCGAAGGCCCGGTGGAGCCGGATCCTGAGTGGTCCTGGAGTGTCCAGAGGAAGCAGCTAGGCCGGTTCAGAGCTCCGAGGTGTGAGGGAGGCATCCCTGGGGATGGAGAGGAGCAGGGGAGCCRGGAGGCCCCAGCTCTGCTGGCTGCTACCAGTGTGCTTGGAAACTGCCGCAGAGGGGCAGCATTTACTTATTTTTCATGTCACTGGTAATACATAAAAAGGAAAACGGTGGCCGCTAAAATCCCCCTGTGGGTAACTGAAAAATGTATTACCACCACTGACTGCTAATGAGTGAGAATTATTACACCAGTTGCCAGATAATTTGGGCTCTGGAATCCCCCCAGCTTCTAAAGTGATATGCTGTCTGCAGCAGATCATCTGTCTAATAGGAAGGCTAAGGAACAGGTTTGGATTCATATTACTGTAGCATTTTGTATTTCMAAGATGGGGGTAGAAAATTCTTAGGACTAAGTGAAACACAAGGGATATGCAATCTGTGAAACATTCTCAGGTTCTTTTTTTTTTTCCAGATTCTTCCTTGACATCTGCAGGAGGGAGAAGTACTCTGCTCATAAAAATAGAAACCTTTTTTTTTTAAATTAAATACTGAAATTCTAAAAATAAATAAATAAAAAAAAAGTGGAGAAATTTAAGCTATTCTGTACAATTCTAATGCCCACTGTTAATCAGTGCCATTTCTGAATTTTGCTGAGGTACCAATTTGAAAGTCCAAGTAACACTGAGTCCTGGGAGTACGTGAGCGGGAGGGACACGCTGTCTTCTCCCTGCTTGAACAGGGCTGAGCTGGGCTCATGTTCCCCTTCCCCTTGCAAAGCTTCAGCAGGGAATGGTTAGAGAGAGGCTGGCTGAGCTGCAGGGAGGACGGGCGCTCGCTGGAACACAGGCTCTGCGCTTGTGACACAGCCTCGAGCTTAGGCAGAGCTTTTGTAGTTTCAACTCCTAGTATATTTTAAAACATATTTCATTCACAGAAATGAATTCTGGTGTTTTGTAAGTGTGCACAGTAGCTCTTGATAATTCATTCTGTTCTACTTCAGTGTTTTGCCACTTCTTTTGAGCATTTGCTTATTCTCATGAAGGCATTAGAAATCACTGTCTTTTTTCACATTCCCACTGAACTAGATCATGCTGCTTTGGCTGGGTGGGGTTTAGAGCAGAGCTGACCTAACTGTACCAAAAAAAAAAGGGGGGGGGGGGAAGGACGGAATCATTTCTCCTCAAGTATTATTTTATGCAAACTTTGTAAAAACAAAGAAAAAGAAATTATTATGTGCCTTTTCTTGGATTTAGATTAAGATTATATATTCCTCATGCACTAAAGGGCAGAAATATTACCCTAAGTCACTTTCGTCTTGCAGTGTCTGTGACTAATACTACGAGAGAGGTCACAATGAATAAAACTAACTGTTCTTTCGGGCCCAGAAATTCAATGCATTCATTCTTCTTATTCTGTCTCAGTGAAATACTGCTACCTTCACAGATCTGGACTCTTAGCTTTTCACTTATCTCCTCCATGGCTGTGAAATCCTCAGCATAGAAAAGATGTGATGGCTCAGAAGCAATTTCCAGCAGTTCTTCCTCAATGGCTTTTCCTATTCCAACAGCATAGATAATTATACCTAGATTCAAAAGAAATTGCACATAATTATTACACTAGCAATTTAAAATCCTGTTTTTCTGTGAAAGGAAAACATGAGTATTAGACTTTCTATATCTAGAGTGAGGGATGTGCATGTGCTGTGTATCTCCCAAATAGTGTTTGAACAGGTTTAATGTGCTCTGCTTATTAACAGTTGTGTTAATAACACAGTTGTGTTAATAACACAGTTGTGTTAATAACACGCCTCTCACTTGACAATGTTTTTTTAAAAGCAGCAAATACAAAGTAGAGCAACCTTCACTATTCCATTTTGGAGCAGGTAACTGGAAATCTTTTATTCTGATGAATGCACGATGAACGTTTACATCAGTTCTGGCTTACAAAGTATCCACAACTGCTTTTGTGATTGCAGTATATTAGGAAAAAGTGCAAGAATTCCCTTCGTAATATAACAATTATGTCATAGTGACTGAAGCTCTTTTTTCAGGCTCAAGAGCAGAAGCTGACTTTTCAACTGGATGGTTTCACATAAGGCAGAGAGTGGGCAGGCTTGATAGCTCTCTATCATCACCAGATAATAGTGGCTGCACACTTACTGAATTGCAGTTTTAACCCTCTAACTGAAAAATATCTAAGCATTTTCCAAGTCTTTGGCATTTGGTTGAAACATCTCCTTGCTTTCCATTATGAATATGCCTGCCATTGCACTTACCTAGGAATGCAAAACATTTACCAGAAACTGATTCAGTTTGATGAATGGACCAGTCATGCCGAGGTCTGTTGCTTTTTAAAGACTTGGAGATATCAGTGACAAAACATTCAAGGCCAAATTCATATTCAGCAGTAGTACGTGGCCTAGAGTGCAATTACACGGGGGACGGACTTGGCTTGTAGCGTTACAAACACCAGGGAAAGCAGTCCAGAGCTGGGTTCCCTTCAGCAAGACAGCAAGGTTGGCTTCATTTCTTTCCTCCTCCAGTTCTGTAAATTTTCCATCTATGCTTCCAGATCTTTCTACTTAACCGTAAATCTTTGGTTTTGCTTTTAACCTTTTGAAGAACATTTTGTTGGTATTTCTTTGTGACAGCAAGCTCGTTAGCTCTGTTGCCTCCTATGCTCAAGCTTTGCACACTATTCCTTCTCACATCCTTATATATTCTCTGTTTTCTCCTTATAGAGAGATGTCAGTGCTGACCAGGGCAAATGGATAATAATGGATCAAACCATGATAGTTATGTAGAGCCAATAAAATAAAATAAAATAAAATATCTTCTACAGTCTGGCTACTTTCCCTGTGCTTCAGGCCATTATCCCAGGTTCTTAATAGAGTTCCTCATAAAATAGAAAATGTTCTGCAAAGACAAAAGGCTTCTTTATTTTCTTGGAGTATTTTGGAAACTTCTAATCAGCTCAGTTGAAGATTCTGATTTCTGGTACTGCTGTCCTAGCGGATGGATTTCTGCCCTAGAAATGTTTTATATTAAAAATCACCGGTTTTCAATTATATTTTGAGATGAGCTATCATTTGGCAAGGCACATAGAAAGATAGATAGCACTGCTGCTTATTTCTCGTATTATTCTGACCTTGGAGTGACATGCCTCAGAGCTAAGGCTTCTGTGAACAGCCAAGACCCAATGGTCTGCTGCAGTGGTCATTTACTACAGCACACCCACTGTACTACGACAAGCTCTCTCTTGATTAGCACATACTATAGCGTCTTATTTTTAACAATATTTGCCTCTATAAAGAATCAAAACCATCTCCAGTTACCRCTTTGTTTTGCTCTGGTAGCCCACTCAGTCACTTCATCTTGGGCTCGTCCGTCTGTGAACACGATGGAGACTCGAGGGACGCCAGCTGAAAAGGGTCTGGCTCCTTCTGCTTCTGTGAAGCTCCTCTCAAGCAGATGCTTCAGAGCCAGTCCTGTCATGGAGCCTCTCTCCATGTATTTCATTTGAGATACGGCTTTCTTCATGTCTTTGACTGAGCTGAACTGCCTTAATGTAAACTCTGTGCGGACTTCGGTGGAATACTGAAGCAAACCGACCCGAGCAGCCTTCGGTGAAACCTCAAGTGAATCCAAGACATCTGAGACAAATTGTTTTACAATTTCAAAATTGTTCTCTCCAAGGCTTTTGGACCCGTCAATCACAAACACCAGGTCAATGGGGCCTTCAGTGCATCCTGTAAAATAAGCAGCACAATTAGTGTGAGTCTCCAGCTGCCAAAGTCTGCAATGTTCCTATGAGGAAAGAGCTCCACAAAGCTGAAAACAGCAGCAAGATGGTCAGGGATTGTATGAACTCAGGGGTGTCTAGAATCCCTCGTTTCTGGCTCAGACAACTCACCAGCGTGTTTAAAGATGTTGTGTACAGTCTATATCAAAAGCCAAAAACATGCCAGTGACTATGACTTTAATAAAAGCATGGTTACAGCAGATGCTTAATGAGACCTATTGCTTTGTAGAATGCTGCAACACTTAAAAACACTGCATCAATCRGCAAGTTTTAAGAATAACTTAAGTAGGAAGAATTGTGTAACTGAAGAATATAGCTAGGATATAGAAATAGAGTTGCCATCATTTTTCTGCCAAGGATAGGCCAATATGCTATCTTTRCATTTATGTAGATATCCAGTATTGAAAGACATCTTAGTGTGTGATGTGAATCACTGGGGCTGCACTTCTACTGTATAAGTAGCAAAAAAGCAAAGGCAATAAAAGAAATGAGTAACTGAGTGTGAGCAGGGCGAAGGCCTAGGAATCATGTTTAGAATGGCAGGGAAGAGTGATGCAAAAGCCAAATATCTGGAGAGGGCTGGGAAGGGGTTAGATAGTCTGCTCTGCAGATTAGGATGAGGTTCAGGTCTGGGGACAAAATGCAGACAATGCACATGTCTTTTTTACTTAGGCCTTCAGGGGCAGTGAAACCACTAAAATACTGTATGTGAGAGTACGTGTTAGGAGGGTGACTAGCTGTCATAACTTGGATCAGAATTGTTTACATAGATTGCTTTGTCCATAACTTTCTTACAACCTTGTAATTTAGAAAGTTTGTGTATTGCTGGAAAAAAACCTTTGCTGTGTTACCCATGAAAGCTGGGAATGAATCCAGGAGACACTGGCAAATTTGGAGTACTCATAACGTTTGGTAAACAGACAGGCAAAAATACAAAGCAATCCAAAGGCACCCAGCACTCMTGATGAGGTTAGGGTATTTAGGGAATGGAGAGTGTCTTCTAATCTGCAAAGAAGCAAGTTCTGCCAGGTGCTGCCTCAGGATAGCGGGTGCCTCCACAAAGCACCACCAGCAAGTTTTGCGCAAGCATTCACAGCTCTACTTGAAGCAATGTCACTTAACCAAAACTTTTAGTAGTTTCCAGGGTGAATTTGCCAATTTCAAGATTTGAATCCTAATCTTTTTCAAAAAAAATTTAGTGTCAGCTTGTCCAGTCCAAACTAACTTTGATCTCTACTTACCTTTCATGGCTGTATAGTAAGAATGCTGTAAGCAGAATGCAAGAGATAACTGTGTGGCTCTGTTCAGTATTGTCCTGGATTTCACAGCAAGACCAACGAGATGTATAGAAAGCATGGTGCAAAGAAAGGATGAAGGAGCAGAGGGTTTTTTTTTTCACAAAGAAAGATGGATATGAAGCATTATAGTGCCCTTCCAAGYGTAGAAGGGGATTATTAAAAAGATGGTGATAAATCAGTTTTTCTCATGTGAATAGAAAAGGTAGCAAATGTCTTCATCTGCTTCAAATGTAAAAATAATTGGCTATTCCAAAAAAAGAAACCACACAGTAAAGTGAAATCATGAAGCAGACAAGCAGGTTACTTAGCACACTGATACCTTGACATTAGAAATATTTTGAAGCAGATTAYTTGAAACACCTATCAGAAATTATTTATATATATTTTATATATATACACACACTGTGATTCTTCCTCAAGTGAGATCACTCACTAGAGTGGTCTAGATCACTTCTTATGTTAACTGGAACCAGATCATTTCTTAAGACCCATGCAAATGCTCTATATCTTGGCCTCCTGTTACAGAAAACGGCGACGCTGCTTTGCCCTGGGGTTGGCAGAATCAYTAAAGGTCTGTGTGTTGCATTGGGTCTGCACTTAGCTAACTGGAAAGGTCTTTAGCTTTTCTTATCACTAAATGATTGCAGACTAAATCAATAGATCCTGCAGGTGGTTGTCTGCTGGGGGTAAATGTTGAAGATTTGGGATCATTGGATACATCCCAAGAGTGAAATCAAAAGATCTCCTTATCAAAGGAGATCTCTCATAAGTTCTTTCCACATTTCTTTCTGCTTTCACTGCAAAAGTTACCAACAAGTTTTGTTACTAAGTCAGAGCAAGGATAAGGAAGTTCAGTTACGAATCTTTGACTGTTCTTAGACAATAACTTCATTTTAGAACCACTGCCCAAGAATTTATTTCTGCAGACATGTGAGGAAAAAATGTGTCACACCTACTGAGGTGATGGAAATGCAATGGATATGAATAACAGAACCTGTGTTTTTTTAATTAAGATTGAGATCAGCCATGAGCATGTTACCATTCTTCTAGTAATAAAAATCTCCTCAAGTAAAGCACCAATTTTGTTGAATAATAGATTTTATTGAGTTCCAGTAAAAAAAAAAAAAAAAAAAAAAAAAAAAAAAAAAAAAGGAAAGAAAAAGTGTTTCTTCCCCAAGAATTCATGGTGATAGGATGAACTGGAAAGAGATCTATGTAAGACATTTTAGAAGATAAGAAAGCAGATTTAATCATATTTTAAAATGAAGCATAAAAAGCTTCACACTGTAGGAACCTGATTAAAGTCCACATTCCTTGATAATAAGACTTTACTCTAGCCTTTTYACTGATATTTGGAAAGAATTCTTATTGAACCTCATAATATTGCAGAACAACTATTCCAATGTATTAGTTTTTGTTTACCAAAGCATAAAGTAAAATAGTTCAAGGCATTTCCTCACATAAGCTGTGGGATTTCACAGATGACACCAGTTTTGAAGTGAGGCATTCCGAGGTCAAGGAATTTTAAAAATCAAAGAAACAAATACTTTACAAATAAAATCTACTTACTTTTGCAGGTTTTCTTATCCTCTTTTAGTACATATCCCTCCTGGCATTTACAAATGTATGAATCATCATTATTAACACAAACATGTTCACAGCCATGGGCAACTGATTTGCAGACATCTTTACCTAGGAATAATTGAAGCATTAATGGAGTATTCTAGTTTAAACATTTATAAATTCAAACGCTATAAACATGGCATTTGAGAAGTGTATGAGAAAGAAATTGAATATCTTTGTTCTTTTATATAGTGTTGCCAGAGCAGAGAGACTGATAGTTACACTCAGTTACTTACTACGACACGTTTTTCCATCTTGTCGCAGGACAAAGCCCTCACGGCACTGACAGCTGTAGGAACTGTTATTATTAACACACACATGTTCACAGCCATGGTCAATGGATTTRCACAGGTCTTTATCTGAGAAGTGGAAAGAGAATTTCCTTATAGATTGTTTTCAAAAGCAAAACACGGACAAGCTTTGAGACTGTTATCTTTTGTGTGTGTGTGTGTGACTGAAAACACATATTCCCCATAAAAGTTCAATCTACTCACTCCTGCAGGTTTTCCCGTCTTGCCTCAAAATAAATCCCTCATGGCACTGGCAAGTGTATGAATCACCAGCTGGAATACAGACATGCTCGCAACCATGGTTGAATGTTTTGCAGATATTTTTACCTGGAAATAATGAAAACGATATTTAGCATAGTTGGTTATGAAAATAACTCCCACAAACTGTAAACATTATAGCAATAATCTTCCACAAAAGATCTCATTTCCATGAAGTTAAATCTATGCTAAAGACACAAATAACATACTGCTGTCACATAATGTGTTTTACTAAAAGATCACAAAGTAGAAAGCATATAGTAATGATTAAACAACTTACTTCTACAAGTTTTCCTATCTTCTCTCAGTATGAATTCATCATGGCACTTACAGATGTAGGAATCATCAGTATTCACACAAATATGTTCACAGCCATGGTCAACTGAGTTGCAGACATCTTTATCTGAGAAGAGTGGATAGAATTTGTTAGGTGGGACATTTTAGGGARTGATAATGTCTTTTATTAACCAGCTTGAATAGCTGAGAAAGAAAGCAGATGAACGTACAGATGTGCAAGCATTTACAGCTTCCACAACACGTAACAAGTCTCATATAAAAACATACTCTTTTTTAACAGACCAGGCTACTCACATCTACACRTCTTCCCGTCTTCCCTCAGCATAAAATCCTCATGACATCTGCAGATGTAGGAATCAGCAGTATTCACACAAATGTGCTCACAGCCATGGTCAACTGAGTTGCAGACATCTTTATCTGAGAAGAGTGGAAAGAGTTACTTAGGTGAGGCATTTTAGGGAGTGATGATCTATTTTATAAATCAGCTTGAATAGTTAAAACAATGGTGAATGTACAGATGTGGAAGCTCTCACAGCTTCACATTTAACAAGCCTAGTATAAAAACATACTCTTTTATTAATAATCAGGTTACTCACATCTACATGTCCTGCCATCTTCCCTTAGTACAAATTCCTCATGACACTTGCAGATGTAGGAATCATCAGTATTAACACAAACGTGTTCACAGCCATGGCTSATTGAATTGCAAACATCTTTGACTGCAAACAAAAGAGTTGGCAGTCAAAACACATCAGCAGAGAGACCCTGATTATATGTGCAGCTAATCAAATTAAGCTCTCATGCTACTTACTTTTGCAGGTTTTCCCATCTCCTCTCAGTAGGAATCCATCATGGCATTTGCAGATATATGAATCATCAGTATTAACACAAACATGCTCACACCCATGGCTGACTGATTTGCAGAGATCTTTATCTGAGGGCAGAGGACAGTTTTTGATGCTCAATACATCTCTACAATTCCATGCACTACAGATAAAAAGTATGCCAATAAATACCCAGCTACTTACTTTTGCATGTTTTTCCATCTTCTCTTAGCAGGAAACCCTCCTGACACTTACAAACAAACGAATCACCAGCATTAACACAGGCATGTTCACAGCCATGGTTGACTGATCTGCAAATATCCTTGCCTGAGAATAAGCAGATAATGTTATATGTTGTTTGCTAGTTAAACATTTTATTAACTGCAAAGACAGCAGGGTTAATCCCATGGACAAAGAAAGATGGGGGCTGCAAACAGAGGCAAATTCCTGGCGAGTTAAATGATGGTTTAGCTTATATGGAACATGAGTTCATCACCATCTGAACTGAAGGAACCACATTTGGTTTAGATGGTCTCCCACTGACAATAACTCACTTTAGGATCAGCCTGACTAGTCTAAGGCATTATGTTAATACGGGTATTAGAAGGTGAAAGTATAATAATATATAGCACAGTCATTTAGAACAAATTCATGGTTATAAAAGCAAAATGAAGCAAAACAGCACTGGACATAAAACAAGCAAATTCATTAAGACTCTTAGATCAATGCCAAGGATATATAAAAAAGCAAGGAAAGGAACTACTCCATTAAGAGGATAAATAAAATCTAWCTGCTTTGTTGAAAATTGATGGTATGTTTGAGTGCAATGTCAAAACCAATTGATTACAACCTATTTAAGGATAGCAGAGTACGAAGTTAGATAAAATTASATAAAATGTAGGAGGAAGTGGAGTTGTCTATCAAAATTACCAGTTTCTTTATGTCATTTGTCACTGTTTTACATTTACACAACATAAAAGGAAGTATTTGCAGTTGCTAATGGAGAAATACACACAACTGTGTGTGCCACTGACTGCCAAGTTTGTACTGGCTCTTGAGCAAAATACCTAATTAAGAGGTGTAGGGAAGAAAAACTAATATTTTGACAAGAACTTCAGTCTGTGGCATATTACCTGAAGGTCTCATGTTGATGACTGGCTCATAGAAAAGTTCCTAAAAATACTACAGAGGACAATTTTCTTACTCAGCAAGCATTACATTCAAGACATCAAAAATCTAAACTATACCCCATTCTAACAGACAAAAAATGAAATCATTATGTAATTAAAAAAGAATATAAGTTAATACACAACCATAATTCAGACACAGTTATTGTTGACAGAAAAAGTCAAATCCAAACCAGAAACATACACGGATATTACTTAAAAAGTAACATAGCTGAAAGCAGATATGACCTGAAGCATTTTGGGCTGGGAAGAGAAATAATTTTTAAAAAGTAATGATGATTGTACCATTCAAGGCTATTTTATCAGTTATTCTCCCTAACCCTAATGCTACATTTTAGAAAGTGAAATTGAAAACAACTATAAAAATATGATTTGAATATAATGAATGATAGAAAAAAACCACAATATTTATTACAAATTAAAATATTAGGAATTGGAAATGCTGACCTACTGAGGTAAAGGATAAGGGAAATGCATTGCCAACAAATTCAAGGATAGCACAAGTGAATTATTTCAAGGAACTTGGAACAAAAATATTCTAACAATATATGTTTAATTAGTAGATAGAGATGGCACAATTGCCAGTATTAATGCAGAAAATGTAAAAATACTTAGTATATTCAGATCTGAATTTGTGATGCTTCTGATCCCACTGAAATGAAGTTACATTATCTGAGAAGTAGGCCACGTAAGACCTGCTGAAGGCACACATTTTAAAAGTAGCAATTCCAGGTAACTTGGAGGCAAAAGCTGTAAAAAAGTTGGCTTAAGAACTCTTTGGATGCTTAGTGTTACTCTTCAGAAACTCCTAGACCTCAGGGAAAACTCCAAAAAACTGCGGAATTTTGATCTGCAGGGCATATAAATGCATGCACACACACAAACTGCCGATGTACCAGTGTTTGAAAAGGGCAATTAGTTCATTATAAGCCTGTCAATTTGACACTCATGTCAAAATTAATAATTAAATAATGGTATAGATAACGTGCAACTTGATTTAGAGAACATTAAAGAAAGAAGATTAGTATCAATCAACTTGACATTATGGAAAAAAGAGATCTTGGAAGACTAAATCAGTGTCTTTTTTAGTTGATTATGACCGATTCATAAAGTTTAAGCCACTCACATAATGGAGACTTCAGTAAGTCATTCAGTAAGGTATTGATTTTGATGATACAAACAGACTACATTAAATGGGTTAACACTGGCTAAGGAGGTCTTGAGAATAAATTGTAGATGGGAAATCATCATATGGATTTGTTTCTATGGATTCGCCCTGCTCCTCTACTACTGTTTTTAAGAACATAGAAGAAAATGTCATCAGCGACAAAGCACGTACGTTACCCCAATTTTCAGAGGTAAACAAATGTGTGCCCATCAGCATTAAACAGCTTGTGGGTCACAGTAGATAAGATGGGTAGATGGGCTCCATAGACCAATGCCATCTCCATTCATACAAAACATGTAAATTCAAATAAGACTGAAAATTGGCGGATATTTAGGAGAGCAGGAAAAGATTTATGAAAGGACTGGAAAACCTATAAATAACCTGCAGGAATTTCTTCTGCTTGTCATTTATTAAAAAACAGGTTAAGAGCTAAGTCGTGGTCTACATGAGTAAGCAGAGAACAACACAGGGCAAATAGAACTGCAACCCATCAAAGTATAAAGCAGCAACATCCAATGCTCAAGATTAAAACCAGACATACTCAGTCAGGAAGTGAAGTTCACATTTTAAAAACTACATTCTAAACTTAAAATTGGCTCATTTTCTAAAATATATCTTTAGTTCAAGCAATAATTAATTCATAGAAAACTTATGATCTGTAAAGGACCGTACTCTGTCCTGATTACCTCAGTGTACTCTGAGTACTGTGAACCTGTGAATAACTCCATAATTTAAAAAAAAAGGGAAATGAAATTTCTTCTTTCTTAGCTTATGCAGATAAGCAACTTACTTCGGCAYGTTTTCCCATCTCGCCTCAGAACAAATCCATCACGGCACTGGCAAGTGTATGAGTCATCATTGTTAACACAAAGATGTTCACAGCCATGATTTATTGATTTGCAGATGTCCTCATCTAAAAGCAATTTAGATGTTATTTATTATATTTGACTAAGAGGGCGTTAAAAAATTAAAAAAAAAAATTTAAACTGTTAATTCCTAATAAAATAAAGAATTTCTCTTTATTTTTGCCTGAGGAGATTACAAATCAGAAGACCTACCTCTAAAAGAATGTTTCTTTAGTAGATCTCTGATTGCAAGCATAGATCTCTATCTATGATCTATMTATACATAGATCAGTAGATCTTTGATGCAGAAACATTGAATAACTTACTTTTACATGTTTTCTGATCTTCCCTCAGTATGAAACCCTCATAGCATTGGCAAATGTATGAATTATCAGTATTGACACAAACATGCTGACAGCCATGATCAACAGAATTGCAAACATCTTTATCTGGAAAAAAAAATAAGAATGCCAGTGATTAAAACATCTCTGTGAAAACATAGATTTTACAGGAAAACTTCTATTAATGATCAATGATACTTACTTCTGCATGTTTTTCCATCTTGTCTCAGTGCATACCCCTCATAACACTGACAGATGTATGACTCATCTGTATTCACACAAATGTGTTCACAGCCATGGTCAACAGAACTGCAAATATCTTTATCTGAGAACAGTTAAGAGTATTTGGTTAAAGCACATGTGCAAATGCACATATTATACATGAAGAAATAACTATTTTTATTAGATCAACTGATACCATTAGAAAAAAAATGGCCAACAGTAACTTTCAGCGTGTGGTACCTGAACACTTGTGGGTTTTGTCTCCGGTCCTAACAGTTTATCTATCCATTTAACTAAACTACTTCTGTTCACAGAGTCTCTCACCAGATTCCAGAAGGTGTAATAACACTACTCCTATATCATGATAGTAAACTATGAGAGTGAGGTTGGTTAAACACTTCCACAAATGTAAATAGTGCAAATGAAGGATTATCAGTAATTACTGCAGTACGTACTTCTGCACGTTTTCCCATCTTCTCTCAGCAGGAAGCCCTCGTGACACTCGCAAACAAACGAGTCCTCTTTGTTAACACACATGTGCTCGCAGCCATGGTGGACGGATCTGCASATGTCCTGTCCTGTGAGTGATTTTGAATGAAAACATATTCATAAATGTTCATTCAATAATCATAAATGATGTTTTTTGCAGTGAGAAGTAATAACCTCATTTTTCCCCCTAGCCTGATGCACATAGAAAGATGTTCAATAGAGACCACTCACTTCTGCATGTCTTCCCATCCTCTCTCAGCGTGAATCCCTCATGACATTTGCAGGTGTAGGAATTGTTAGCACTGACACAGAGATGTTCACAGCCATGGTTGACTGATTTGCAGATATTTTTACCTGAGAGCAGTTCAATAGATACAATTTTGTGTAAGTTAAAGGCAGGATGTGCAAAGTCTTACATTCCCACTTACCAACTGTTCTTTCCCATGATGCTAAACTAGACACATCTGGCAATTTTCTTTTCTTTTTTTTTTTTTNTTTTTTTTTTTTTTTTTTTTTTTTTTTTTTTTTTGTAGCAGTTTTTATTGTAACAAAAAGAGGATATATCGTCATCTTTCTACCAATTTACAATGTTGGTACTAAGCAAAAATTTAGTGTTCGGACTACAGGATTTGTAGCATTTCATGTGTCCCTAATGTGGAGATTAGTGACCTATAGTGATTTACAAAGGTAGCTAAACTGCACATCTACATTTCAAGCAAAGCTGATGAGAAACAATTCTTTCCACAATTGTCTTTTTATCCTCAGGAATGAATTTGCTCAATTCTGAAATAGTCATGCATCTTCCCCTGGAGTTAAATTTTGTAGGAGTTTATCATTCTCCTGTAAACTACAGTTGTCCAATACAAGCACGTAAATCTGAGTTAAATTGCTTTGGATTCATAAACAGTCCAAATCAAGAGCTATTATTTACATGGCACAGACATTTAGGGAATGATTCAGGTGTCTTAAATTATGCACCCAGTGTCCCTTTAGAAGCCCTAGAGTCTCCACAGCATTGACATACTCCTTGTAACCAAATGTCCAATGTCACTCCAATGTCACCAAAAGGAACTGCGCGCTTCTGGAATCCCAGAGCATTTCAAAGGACAGCAATGTTTAGGCCATGAAATCCTGCCCTTACAGATTTCTTCTATGTGTTCACCAAAAATTTAGCACTGACTTGCTGAATAATAACTTACGTTTACATGTTTTCCCATCGTTACGAAGCCGGTAGCCTTCAAAACATTGGCAGGTGTAAGATCTGTCACCATTTACACACAAATGCTCACAGCCATGATCACTTAGAGCACAATAGTCAACCCCTGCAGAAGTAATTGGATTTATTAAAAAAAAAGGAATGAATGAATCAATTTCCTTTAACTATAGTATTTGCATGTTGTATATGAAAGTAAATATAAACATGTCAGATTGACTGAGCAATAAATCAGTTCCTTATCAGATAACATACATGTACCTTCAGTAAAAAGGAAGAGGGTCTTTGCTGTGCACTGTGTTGCTTGCTATTAAGTGGAGTAAACTTACTTTCCCATTTTAACAGAACTCAGCAGACTCCAGACTTCACAAACTGAATTAAAACTCTGTTTAGTAATTATTGTATATAATAGACAGTAACAAGGCCAGAAAAGCTACCTTGTACACATTCTTCTTTAAATAAAGTCTCTAAATGGTCTGATTGGAATGTGGTAGATCCCAGAACTCACTTGTGTGCCTGACTCAGCCGCTGCGGCAGCAAGCAGAAAGCTCTCAGGGACCTCCTTTGGTTTTGGCTTGGACTTTGCAAGCTTTTGCAGAAAATTGAAAATGACAAATGTGGTCACATATGGTCCATTTTTCATCCCAAATTTCCTAATGATTTATTCTCTGTAATACAAAGATGCAGACCCCTGGTATTCTGCAAGCATCACTCACTACTGTCTATTGGCTGCACATAGAGCTCCACTCATCTTTATGTAATTAGTTGTCAGAGCAAAAATCAATTTACTACTCAGATGTTCCCACAGGCACCTTAAGATACTTGTGGACGGCTATATGACACCAGAATTGTGATTCCCCACATGTTCTCTCATTAGCAGCGGTATGTGTTAAGTGTCAGTCCCTTCCATTCAGCTTGTCCTTCATTCAGGACATCCAACTGCCAAAACTCTTTTCATCATGGTTTAGAAAACTGGAGCTGAGGAACAGAATAAATCTTTAGGAAGACTTTAGGAAGTTCTTCCCAAAGGGAGGAGAGTGGTGCATTGGCAAGAAGGGGAACAGCTCCCTGGGGATCGATTTCTTTGCACAGAGGCATTCCAGAARACACAGCAGTTTTAATGCTGCATATGCATCTCCATCCAGTGCTGGAAGAAAACCAGTCAGAGTGAAAAAACAGCACTATTTTTACTGCAAAGGAAATGGGTCTTTCCATTTGCAGGTTGATAAAACTTAAAAAAAAAAAAAAGTGTTTGGTAGTTTATGGATTTCCAGTGCTTTGCTTGGATAAATGTTCAAATCAAGTGTTTCAAAAAGCCCCAATCCCTGTTGCCCATGCAATGCGGGAGCTCTGCTCTTGCAGAGATTCCTGTCCACCCCTCTTCGGAGAGCAACAGTAACAGACAGAGCAAAGTCTGACAAGATTTTGGGTGAGGCTAACAAGAATAGGACAAAGAAAAAAAACAAAACCCAAATTTGCCTTCCCTAATTTGCCTCGCTCTTCCCCACATCATTTTTGTACCTGAGCAGTTGTGGTTTGATTCCTGTTGAGACTGTGTTGCCAAAGTGCAAGAAAATCAGCAAACGCTGGAGCTGCTGCAACACTGAACACACTCGAGAAATAATATTGCCTCCAAAATCTGTGGCCCAAACCCTCTAATCTGAAGGGACCAGTCCAAGAAAACTCAAGAGGCAAAATACATACACATTCCTATTCACTCTTCTGTAAGTATTTTCCTGGAAAGGAGGGCATTTGGCTGTTTGAAAAACTGCAAGGACTCTCTGTGATCATTGTACAAAGGATGGAGAAGTGCCARGACAACTTTTATTAATGCATTAAGGGCAAACTCCTGGGCAAACTGTAAAGCTGGCATGGTACCCACACTCTTCCTCCTTCCCCAGATAACATGCAGTGCTTTGGGGACACTGCTGTCAGATGACCTRTTTGGCAGACACAGCTGCCACATGAAAAATTGTCCTCACCACCTAGGGATGAACAAGTCTTTCAAACATTTTCTGAAAGTACTAGGATTTCTCTAAACATTTTTCCAAGTCCGTGCCAATAGTTTTTTTCCATGTGTCTGCTTTCAGATCCTTAATGAGGTACTTCTGAAATGCAATATTTACGAATAAATTGCAGGCCTATCCTTGTATGAAGACAGAAGTCTTTCCCAGCTGAGCTGGGATCATGGGGGCTCGCACAAGACTTACGTGTGCAGGTTTTCAGGTCCTCGTTGATGACAAATCCTTCGGAGCACTGACAGACATAGGAGTCACCAGTATTTAGGCAGAGCTGCTCACAGCCATGATCGCTTTCAGCACAGTGGTCCACTCCTGTTGATTGGTGTCAATAGTTGAGAAAAGCACGTTAGAGGCTTAGGCCCACGCAGCGACRCTGCAGTTAGTACACGGAGTCCTTACAGAGCAAAGGGAAAAGATAAGCCCAGCTTTGTGTTTCTGTAGCGTGCCCATCTACTTGAATAGTGCTCGTTAACTAACCACGGCTTCATTAAATTACTACAGCAGCCCCACTTAATGAATAACACACTCGACAAAGTGCAGGCTTCCCTTGCCCAGCACCACAACGCAGAGCAAAGGCAGAACCCGGGAATTCTGCTTCATGCGTCTCCCTCCCTCATCTTAGTATCCCTGTCTTTAGATCTCTTCCTGGGAGTGAAAGGGGAAATATTAATAACTTTTGTAATTTCCTAAATGTCAGATTATTCCATAAACAGTGAATTCTTTTCTAACAGGATAAAAAATCACCCCTTCAGAACTTTATCCTGTTCACATGGGCTATTCGTTGAAGTCTGGCAGGGGGCAGATGCGGTTATGAGTGTTGGAGTGTCTTTACATCTTCCTTTTCTTTGGTTTTGTGGGGAGAATGTTTCCTATTCCAAGTAAAATAAAATGGAGTATTCTTTCAATGTTTGTATGCAGCAATTTGTATAAAACAGCAAGAAAGAGAGTTGAATTTGGGTTTAAAATCTGCCTCGTGTCTCACAGAAGGGACAGAAAAGCAGTCAGGCAAGATACGTGCACTTGTGAATGCACCGTGTAATCTGCTGACTCTGGAAGTATAGGAAAAGCACATTTTAGGAAAAAAAGCTTCATTCTGAACTTCCTCGTAACATTTTATTGCTGACTTTTTAACAGCTATTTTTAGTTATATAGGCCCAAATCACTTTAGCTTAACTTGACTGAAACTAGTGGAGTGCCCTCAGATACAAACACAGTCTCGTCTCATATGTCCCCATTTACAAATTATTTACAGATGCAAGCAGACATCTCTGTAGCTATTTGTTTACATACCCCCCCAAAAGCTTTCTATATTTAATAATAAAGTATATTAGCTTTAAATAACATTATTTATTTATTAGTTTACTTAGCTAGGTAATGAGCTTGCAGGATTTCATCCAGATACGTAATTAGCGATAATGTTGGCTTGAACAATTGAAGCTGAGATTGAAATTCTTATTAGTTAAAGCAAGTTCCAGCTGGAACTGTCTCCTTTTTCCATGAGTTTACTTCATCACAGAGAGACTTGTGTAACTTCTCAGAGCACAAGAATGTGGAAAAGARGGGAAACTTYTTTTTTTWAAGTTATTCTTTTTTGAAAAATTGCATCTGCAATTTGACACCGTCTTTTATGAACACCTATACAAATGTGAATTTAACATTTAAATACTTCAGGTTCTCACTTATAATCTTTCAAGAAAGGAATAGTCAGAAAGCTGCTAATTGCCAGACTTCAGAAACTCTTACTACTATAAAATTGATTTAATGATTTAATAAATATATACATAAAAATTATTCTAAGAAGAGAAAAGGGTAGAGGAAAGGGTAGAGGAAGAGAAAAAGGATGTATTTTCAAAAGTAGCTAGTATTGTGGGATATTTTTAAAAACAATTCAATTTGTGATAGCCAAAACCTTTTGTTAGAAATTGATGAGACCTTTCCTCCTAAAAAGTATCCAACCAAAAATAATGCGTAATCAACATATGAAACATAACCATGTTTCCTTAAATATTGCTTTATCATTAGTAGTTTATTTAAAAAATAAACCACTTGAAACCCTTGAACTATCCCTTAAACAAACCCTTGAACTATCTACTTCCCTAATTCTGGTGACAGAGTATTGCCTTGTTAAAAAATATATCGGGGAAAAATACAACCAATAGTTTAGGTAGTGTGTTAAGAATGCAAAATAGTTCTCTGGGAAAAAGTGTCTTCCAAAAACTGGGTTACTCCCAGTGGACAATTTTGTTGGGTGTTTCTGGTAGAACATTGACTTACTTAACTGAATGTTACTTAAGGGAATTAAGTAGGGTTAGGGATGTTACTTAAGGGAGTTAAGTAACATTCATATCAAAGAGGACATTTTATCAGACAATCAYGAACAGCATAACCATATGGATGGAGGAAGTCTGTACAAATCAGCATTAGTATTAGGTTTGTAATACTAGTTTAAATAGCATGTAGCAATGATACAGATGTTTTAACATCAAGCACTGCCTTTATGTTAGACACCTTGGCAAAATATATGTTTCCAATTACTTCAATTATGGAAGATGATGCATTGCTTCTCTACTGGTGAGGGATCTCACTCGAGCATTACTTCAGTAGTACTTGGTAGACTTTGCAGTACCAGAGATTTACATAGCTCATGGAGATCTTCAAGGGGATCTGGGAGTGTTCTCTCCCTTTCACACTTTACCCCACAGGAGTAACTAGTTGCTGCAGTTTACRAGGAACACTCAGTTCTGCACGTTTTGCCATCGAGTTGTAGGGCGTCCCCAGGATGACATTTGCATACAAATGACTTTTCAGTGTTAACACATTCACATTCATGGGTCATGTTGACCTCAAGCACAGAAGTTTACTTCTGCAGAGAGAAAAGCACTGAAGAGCTCAAGCCAACAAGGAAGGCTTCCAAAATTGGCTTCCAAAAGACCATGTTTCTTAAATCCTACTGAATTCTCTGCTCTGGTCTCTGGTTAAAGCAGCTATAGCAAAAGATCTGATGGGTGATTGCTCCTGCTCAGCTARGCAGGACTTCTGACTCCCATACTCCCTGCTCTGTAGTCATCAAAACAGATGCATCACAGGCCAGGAGGAACGTCTGGTGCTTGTCGACTAAGATGTTCTTCCTGATTTATAAAGAGGGACCATATGCAAATGTTCTGATATATTTTACAAGCTTATCTAACATAAATCTTCTTATAAGAAGTTTGGGAATATGAGCTTGATTACAAAAATGTCACCAGATTTACAGCCTCATCCAAAGCCCCTGGAAATTAAAGTATACCAAATGAGAGTTGCAATTTGCATTTAATTCACAATTACAGCCTTAGCAATAAATAATTTAGACAATTCTAGGTTTTTTGGTCTTATGCTAACCAAGCACATCCATTCTATAAAATCCTGAGTGTGCTAAAATACCATATAATACAATACATGGTTGCAGGGATTGCTGTGGAAAAAAAGTACTTTGTAGACAAAAATTCTTCATGAGAAAGCATCTTTAATACTGAAAAAGAACATAGATCCAGAAACAGATAAACTCTATGAGGGACTAAAAATATGATTATATTGCTCTAGGCAAGCTAATTCATAACATATCAGTGATATAATCCTTTCAGTTCTACTAAGTTCACAGGTCAACTTTGTTCTTTTGACAGAATATGTGCTCCTTCTGCATTAGGAATATCACATAAAAAATCTGCTCTGACTCTAGGCTYCCACTCAAGAAGAGCTGTAACACAAAAGTCTTCCTGGACTATGGAATATAGGCCTTGCCTCCAACAGCTCAGCCAAGCAGAGTGAAATTTCTAAAACCAGCTGTTTGTGTCGCTGCAAAACAAGATCAGAATGTCTCAGTAAGTCAGGAACTTCTTGGTTTTGAGCCACTGCCTTGCTACAATACTCCTCAGATTCCCATAAATCTCTTTAGAAAATGTCTATATTCAGTCTGGTTCACAAAACAGCAAACTCTTCATCCTTCCAGCATGACTGGCTTAGGTTAAATTCGACTTCATAAAGAAAGATTTCTTTCAACCTTAATTAGAGACAAAACTTCCATCTTTCCAGAAAGGAAACCATTCACAGCAGGTTTAACAAATAAAAGCAGACAAACTTTACTATGGCCAAAGAATTACTCACTTTTGCATGTTTTCTTATCTGGATTAAGCATAAACCCATCTTGGCATCGACAAAAATAAGAATCGTCTGTATTAACACATTCCTGTTCACAGCCATGATCCTTCAGAGAACAATAGTCTGGTCCTAAAYGGAAAAAAATAATAATAATTAGGTGAGAAAAGCAGGTATCTCATTTACTTTTCACTTGTATTTACCTTTATAGGCACTACTTTGTCTTCTCACCGTATTGTTTTAAAGGATGAAAATACAATGTTGCTTTTTTACAAATAGCTGCCATACTAAGTATACTGTGATGTGATATGCACATTACTTGAATGAATTCTCAAAGAACAAGTGTATAACATGAAGTACAGAAATGAGCACCATAAATATTCCTTGACATTATACAGCTGAATTCTATAAGTTGTGTCATTTATTTCCCAACTAATTGCCTCTTTATTTTACTCAGAGGAAGTCAGATATGATCTGTAATAAATGTGCAAACATGTTTTTAAGCTGCATTCACTAGATCAAACCAGGACTTCACAAGGACAGTCAATGTTTGAACATTTCTGAGTATTTTCTATATACTTCTCCCACTTAAAATGGGCACAAGAGGAACACAAATTCTAGCAACAACACAAATTCTAGCAACAACTTCCACTTGCACATAAAGTACCTTAGAAAAGGAAAATAACTGTGCTGCAGTCATTAAGATCAATACCCCATGGGGTCTAACACTATTAATGAACTCAAGAAATCTGACGTTTACAGATGTCTCTAAACAGTATTAGACACTGGTCATCTCGCCATCACTTACATTGCAGTACTTTTACATCAGTGGAGTTAACTAACTTATATTAGTAAAAGAATAGTCTTGATCCATAACATTGCTAAAAAATAGATAAACAAGTCAGAAATCAAGAAAGTTATCTTTTTAAAGACAGCATACTTTMCCAAAAAAACATAACTGACATTCAGATGCTTCCTTGTAATTCCAGAGGTAAATTGTTTCCTGAGGAACACAGTTCTTTTTAATATGCATGGTGGCTTAATTCAACTAGCCTTTATGTATGGTGAAAGCCTTTGACAATAATAAGGCAGCTATGTTTTCAGGACAAAGGGGAATGTGATTTTATAAGAAGAACTTGAGGATATTATCTTATTCCATACGAACTAGACTCTCTATATTTTCTTCTCCAATACATATATACACAACACAGAGATACCTTAGTTGGTTCCTAAAAAATAAATTGACAATAAGTTTTGCTTGAAGGGATRGAAGCGCTAAAGCCACATGTGTGCATCACAGGAATGCAGGTTGATAGAATCATTATGGTTGGAAAAGACCTTTAAGATCATTGAGTCCAACCATAAACTCTTCAGCACCATGCCTGCCAAGCCATGTATCTAAGTGCCTCATCTACTTGTTTCTTGAACACTGCCAGGGATGGGGACTCTGCCACTTCCCTGGRCAGCCTGTTCCAGTGTTTCACCAGTCTTTCCACTTAGAAATTTTTGCTAATGGTTAGAACCTGAACCTCCTCTGCTGCAACATGAGGCCATTTCCTCTTGTCCTAGTTATTTTGGAGAAGAGATTGACAGTCGTCCCCCCCCCCACCCCCACCCCCACCCCACTACAACCTCCTTTCTGGTAGTTGTAGAGAGTGATAAGGTCTCCTCTGAGCCTCTTCTTCTCCAGACTAATCCCATTTCCCTCAGTTGCTTGACTGATAACCTGAAGTTGCTGCTCTCTCCTTTTTCTGCCACAGAAAGAGCACTCTACTGGTGTTTGGCAGGGCTCCTCTCATGAGCTATGTTCCCTGCATTTCACTCAGAGAAGGGTGGGGTGATTTCCAGTGAAAACTTTTGTAAGAAAGACATGAATGACTGTAACAGTAAAATTTACATTTTCARGCTTTTCTTTGCAACCATGAGTACTGTAGCTTACTGTCTAACTTGAAAGGAAAGACCAGATGCTGAAGTAATGGTAATCACGAGAGCCTTGGAGCTGGAGCCCAAGGCCTAAGCTTGCTTGCTGATGCAGTAATCTGGTCTGGCATGCGTGTGAGCCTTGGCTAGTTGGCAATTGTTCCTGAGAATCAAAATGTATGCCAAATTTTTAAAAAGTTATGTTACAGGCTTTACATTTACAAACATTTTAAATCCTGCTATTTGAAAATTCTTCCTTTAAGTTGTTTACGCTGACTGAAAGCCAACATGATTCATAAYATATGGAAACTCGAACACACTTTTGTTCTGAAGAGTTCTCATTTTAACTCTTAACTGTTGCAARAATCTTAACTTTTGCAACATTAAAGGCTACCCAGTTCATTTCTTCAGGTTTTACTTTATTAGAAAGGCTCTGAAGACATAAAGTGCAAGAAGTGCCTTAATAAATTTTATTTGCACTAACATTCAGAAGATGCATCTTGAATAAGTTGGATTTTGCACAGTGTTTGCTTGTCCTTCCTCTGACTACTGCTTTAGAATCAGCTCCTGTGGCTATGCCTTGCCACTTCATTTTTCTCAAATTGCAACCTGATGGTATTTTTTTCCTTCAATTTTAATCAAATTTAAAGCATTCATAGCAAAACAAAATGCACTTAACATGGTCACTGTTCAGAGACTCATAGACTCTTGCATTTGATTCTTGCTTGAGCTTTATCTTGGGATAAATATGCCTGTGCCAGCCTTGCAATTTGTTAAATCTCACTTGCAGAATGGTTGACTTGACTTCCTGGCTTGATCTTGGACCTCTCCTGTAACTATGGCCTTTCCTGGTCATCACTGGACTGTTGGCTGAGCCTAGTTACTGTCACAGGATTTATTTTGCTCTTCTTCTTCAGRTACTGTGGGACTGCGTGCTTTATTGTAAACATTACTGACCCTGCCTACCCTGTTGTCACCCTTGGCTCCTTGAGCTCTAGATGTGTCCAAATTTTTTGCTAGATGTTAAGGAGCTCCCTAGCTCTACAGAGACTTGATATGAAACTGGATATGTACCTGTTAAGGGAGTCTGGGTCAAGTTCAGAGTGGGAAACAACACTGGGAGCGTGGTGGTGATAGTSGTAGTATCTGTTGCAGACCTCCTGACCAAAAGGCTGTAGAGCATAAGACGTTCTACAAACAACTAGCAAAAGTTTCACAGTCTTACARCCTTTTGTACTCATAGAGAACTTTGACTATCCAAACACATGCTGGAAGAGAAAGACAACAGACATTAAGGCAATTCAGGAGGTTACTGGACTGCCTTGGTGACAATTTCYTAACACAAGCTCTAGAGGGACAATGCTGCTGCTTGCAAGCAGGGAAGAACTGGTGGTGATGTGGTTACAGATGGCAACCTGGGCTGCTGTGACCATGAAATGACTGAGTTCAAAATATAGGCTGAGAGGGGAAAAAGCAGAGGTAAGACTCAATGCTTTATGAGCTCAGATTTCAGCTTGTTTTATGGATTTGCAAGGATGAATCCCCTGTGAAAGAGCCAAGAAGAGAAAGGATGCCTAGGAAAACTAGGTGTTCTTTTAAGGAAAATTTACTATAAGCTCAAAACCAAATGATACTATTTTACTGGGAAATCTTTGTAGTTAATTATGGAGCTTCTCAGTGAACTACAACACACAAGAAGGTGACTAGTAGAAGTACAAATAAGAACAAAGAAAAAAAAGAAGAGTATTAAAGCATATTAGGCACTTAGGAACAAAATTACAAAGACCAGATCCCAGCTGGTTCTATGAGTAGGGAGATGTTCTACAGGTAATAGGAAAGGAATCTACAAGTATCCTAGTAGCAATAGGAAATTCGGAAAAAAATACAGATCTGCTGTTGCAAGTCAAAATAACCTAGTAATGGACAATACAGAAAAGGCTGAAGTAATCAATGTCTTTTTTATTCCTGGTTCTCCCAGGCCAAACCTGCTCCAAGATTTCCGTATGTACCAGCACAGTTTGGGAAGGAGAGAAGCAAGCGACTGTGCAGCCTATTCCAGGGCTCTGTCACCTTCACGAGAAAGTTCTTCATATGGAGATGGAACTTCCTGTGTTCTAATTTATACCTATTGCCCCTTGTCCTGTCACTGGCCACCACTGATAAGAGTTTGGCCTCATCTTCTTTACATTCTGCCCTCAATACATATTGATTAGATCCTCCCAAAATTTACTCTTCTCCAKGTTAAACAGGCCCAGCTCAGTTGGATGGAGACCAACATCACCACAGCATCTTGAGGAATGGACTGACAGCACTTAGCTGGAGTGAAATGGGGTCCTGAGCCTAGACAAGGGTGGGGAGGTGCCATGGGTGAKGGCGGGCATGAGGAAGACCTGGTGGTGAGCTTCAAACCCTGGCATTGTTTCTGAGCAATGGCCCTGCAGGATAGGGCTTTGAGATTTATAGTGGGTTGCCYGCAGCATGTGCTTTTCCTAGAAATTAGGCTGCTCTGCGTATTGAGAGAAGTTAGTCGATGGAGAGAGGTTACTATCCCCCTCTAATCAGCAATGGTGAGGCTGCACTCGATACATTTTGTCCTGCACCACTCCCATTCCAAGCTCAAGAGAATAAATTGAAGAGGGTCCAACAGGGACTTTCTGAGACTATCAGGGGCCTAGAACACATGGCAAGAGGGGACAGCCTGAGGGATCTGGGCTTATTTAATCTGGTGAAGAATGTAGCTAATAGCTGCCTACAATCACTGTTTGTCTGTCCTGATAAAGGCAGATGATATAAAGGGATAATGGTCATGACCTGTGTCCTGAGTGATTCAGGCTGGACATTACAAGAAAGTTTTTGCTAGGAAGGTGGTGTGGAGCAGCASTGGAATTGRCTTCCCAGAGATGTTTTGAAATCCYCATCTGCAGAGCTTTTTGAGAYTCAGTGAGACAAAACCACAGCTGACCTAGCTTAGGGTTTGTTGCAGTCACACTTTGAAGGGGAGGCTGAAGCAGATGGCCTCCAGAGATACCTTCCATATGTGTTTATTCCTCTGATATAAGAGCAGCAATACATGGTCAGACTGCAAGTCTTTATAGYCCAAGATCCCATCTCCAGCGGTACACACCTAAGGCAAATACGTCTTTTCAGGACAAACCTCAAATACTGCTTTCCGAGAACACTCTCTCACTTCCAGCAATCTGTAGCTCGTCAATTTAAACCAGTTAAAGTGATTCATAGGATTAGACCACAAGCTAAASCCGATTCAATATAAATATTTATAAAAATATAAACATAAAATGTTTATATTGTTTTAAGGTCTTTGATCAGTTCAAACTGGGGGAGAAAACACTACTTAAAATCTGTTGGCTTAAACTGAGAGAATCAATATGAATTTTTGCTTGGGTATTTGAAAGCACCTACACTGTACTAGATTATTTGATTATTTCATACTATATACATGTGGAAATACATGTGGAAGTATAAGAGAATTTAGCTAGCCTTTAACTGAGATATGCTGACAAGTGGGCTAGTGCACATAAGATACATGAACTAAAAGCAACATTAACTGATATCAGCTGCACTATGGCCTATGGTGAAAAGATAAATTCAGCTCTCCTAACTTCAGTTATACAAAAATGGGTGTCTAGTGTGGCAAGTCATATCTATACTTTCTGCACAGTCAGGAAAGTGTAGGCACTTTCAGAAATATCTAAGAGAGGTGCAAGCAATCACCTTCTAGTTCCTTGATCATCCAGCCTGAATTAGATGCTTTCTTTAACATTTTTAAAATTAAGTGACCCATATCCACCACAATATATTATATAGTTGATAATAACATGGTCTCCTATCATAAAGATTCAAGTGCCAACAAGACTGTAAAGCCTGCAGAAATGCAGTGCTGTATTGATGCATTTTTGAGAAATAATGCTTGTTCAAATCATTAAATAATATAGACTAAATTCTCTGCTAACATCAGCAGTCTCACTGCTCTTCTAAAGTACATAAAGTGCTTACAGACACACACACACAATTGTTCTGGTTTGTGCTGTTTTATCAGGGTTCATATTTATAAAGAAAGACAACTTGGAGCATACATTCACATTTTCCCTTCACATTTCCTGAAGGCAAGAATTTAACAACACAGAGTTTTTAGCTTAGTTTCTTGAGAAAGGGAAAACTTTGCAAGTGTATTTTCCTCCACCCCCAAGTCCACTAACATTTGAACTTGTTTAGCTCAGTATCAATCAAAGTTGAAAAAGGTCAAACAGCAAAGCTATAAGCTGGTGAAAAAAACCAAAACTTGGTAGAGAGTAGTAAGGTCCCCACAGATCCATTTGTCAAAAGTATCAAAGAATGCACAACACAACTCAGCACTCAGGAAAATTCATAGCAAAAAAATTTATAAGGTGAGGAGAAATTGCTTTGTAAAGATGGATCTTTTGTTGCTGTTGATGTTGTTTACTTAGCCGGGGAGATGATGTAAATTTCTAAATGTAAAAGCTGGATCATCAAAAAGACTATGCAGGTGGAGCTTTTTGCTCTTAATATCTGAAAAGGATACTGGCCTCATTTTAAGAACTTCCTGTCCACAGAAGGAATCCTTGCCCTTTCCTCAGAAATCCCCTCAAAACCCTCAAAGAACATTCATTGATGTTACGACCTTGGCTTTAAGCGAACTCTAACAACTTTTTGTATTTAACATATTACACAGTGTTTTCAGGAAAAGAGGGAGAAAACTCCTGAGGACTGGAAAGCAGAAGGAAAGCAAACTTTTCAGATTTAAACCTGATCATAACTTACTTCTGCAAGTTCTTCTGTCTGGATTTAAAATGAACCCTGGATGGCATCTACAGTAGTAGGAGTCCTCAGTGTTAACACATTCATGTTGGCAACCTTGGTTATCCAATGCACAGTAGTCTACAACTGAAAAGAAAACAAGAATAATAGGTACAATTAGAAAACAAATTTAAAACTATTACATAGAGAGATCATGGTACTAGATACAAATAGTGCCTATAAAAGAGGGAAAAGCTGACATAATTTCAGATGACAGAGGTTGTTTGAGTCCCAGGCTACTTCTCCTACCCTCTCATCAACTGCTCAGTGTCAGGTAGCTTCCAGCTTTTGAAAGATCTCCTCAGCATGTTTTCTCAGATCTGGAAACCATGCCTCAGTTAGTCACTCTGTCCAGATGTACACAGTGTGGACCAGGGTGAGCAAAATCTGCCCCGATTTAATTCTATCTTGAGTCCCAGAATTAGTTGAGGCTTGTTGCACCTGATTGCTCTATATTTCCTCAGTTTCCTCCCATCAAGGAGTATGTCWAGAGCATCAAGAGCTGCTCCAGTAGCCTGAACATGTAGGAGGCCATGGCAATACCTTCTACACTGAGGACTGTCACAGGACACTCAACCTTGCACCAGAATGATCCTACACAAAGTAACTGCAGCTGTGGAGCCTGAGAGCAGTCTAGCACTGTTATTCTCCTTGTGTGAGAGAAACAGAACTGTTAGTCCAGTTAGCATAAACCTACATTTGTAATATAGTTTGCCAAAGAGTAAAAAAGTAGTATTTTAGAGTTCATCAGGCAAAAAAGAGTGATTGATTCTTGTTGTTGTTATTATTATTGTTTACCTGCAGCTTAAGCAGTTTCTTCACACAGGAAGTCTTATAAGAAATTAAAGCAAAATTAACAAAACGGGTGTCTTGACCACAAAAAAAAAAAAAAAAAAGTCCTGCCTTGCTCATGCTGGGAAAGTATGATCCTCTCTGCAGAAGACAGTAAGCTGCCCAGCCCTCTTTGCCATTTGAGTACCTGAGTAATTTGAGTAATGATATTACTCACTCATTATAATACTGCTTACTACTTCTAGTATTCAAAGTGCTTTTAAGAGTCAATAGTTTGTTTTTAATAAAATCAGTTCTTACTTGCAGGAATAAAGAGAGATATTCTGGTGTGCTAGTCAAGACTATCCAGTCAGGAAAGCAGATAATTCATTTAGTTACTGTGAATTAATTTYTTTTAACCCATTAGAATAGTGGGGTTGGATCAAGTCAAATTGGGCTGCTCAGTCAGTACCACATGATCATTTTTCTGGCAAGTGCCTCCTATTTACAGACTAAAAAAGTTTCACATACAAAAATATCAAGGATAAATATTTTGAGGATATAATTTATCATACATATTATATACAATATGTCATACAATTACTGAGATTTCCTCTTAAATTAATTCTAACCACATACTTATTTTCAAGTGGTTGAAAAGACACTTTAGCAAATAGACAAAGAATGCACCATCTCTTACACCTAGGACTGGGAAACAGTCTGTATGAATCTCTCCATAAACTCACCTCTGTCTCTGCCTTTAAATATGCCTTTCTGCCACAATTCCTGAAACTACAATGACAATAAAGTTGAAAGATAACCAAACAGGTTTTCTGGTTTTTGGTTTTTTGGTCAACGTCTGAGCAACTATCACCCTGAACACTTTCAGATCACACAAGGGGTTGTGCCTTCTTATGTTTATGCATCTGCTAATGTGCTGTGAACACAAATGAGGGAATAAATAATCCATATATACAATATATTTTTACAGATTTGCTTTACTCCATKCATATTCAATCTTGGGAGCTCTTACAGTAGTAGATCTTCTGGCCTCCAAGAGTGGTGAGTATCAATATAACCAAATCTTTTTTACTGACATGGTTAAAAAGTGAAAACATGTTATTGACTGCTTTTGGAGATTTTTTCCCAATATCTTCTATATACAAATTGCCCTAATTCCATGCATGCTTAGCCTTGCAGATTTGCACTAATAATCCACTTACACATTCATTTCAATTCATCATCCAGTTTCATCTTGATGACTTAGAAGGAAAATTTGGCAGTGCATTTCAGCAGCAAGTAAATTATTTGYCCATGAAATTAAATTGTCCTAGACAGACTGAGAAGAATTAAAAATCTATACTTATTTTACGGAAACATTGCAATCCTTTACTTTGTATACAGAAAATCTGCATAAGACCTAASCAGAGTAATATTTTCCTCATTTTGTTAACTGTTCTACTATTTTCAGATTTCTGTACTGAGTTGTGAGATATACAAAAGAATGCTAACGCTTAGAAATTTCACTGTTTTTAATGTTAGTYCATGCTTATTTCAATTAAAACAAAGCTTCCAAATGATGAATTAGTGATATTTTTAGAGAGAAAGCAATTAGTTCAGTTGTCATCTTCCCACATTTGTTCCACTCTGTTTTCCTCATTTGGAATTAGTTGTTAGTGATGAGAGGCATCTTTTATTTCCAGTTTCCAGTTCTACACTTGGGTGGTTACGTCTCCCTCTCTGATCCATGGTCCAAATATGGTCCATATTTTCATTTTACTCCTTTGATGTTGATATGTTTTTGGGGGGCTTTAGAAGCCCAAAGTAAGTTAAAGTAAGCTAAGCACGAGAGAAAGCCTAGGAAGCAAAGGTAGCACAATAAACAAAGGCATAAGGAGAATAAAAAAAAAAAAAAAAGTGGTGGAGGAGGTGGCACTACGTGGCAGACTCTGGAAGTAGTGTAAGAACCCAGAAAACAGCTGAAAAGGCAGCAGTGCAGGGAGTGCAGGCAGATGCCAACAGTCCAGCCAGTGCCAGGAGAAGAGAGTCCAAGTCCAGCTGCTCTTCATCTGCAACTCAGAGAAAGTCTAGCACCAGTGCCAGGAATGAGGGGACGGAGTGTCCAGGAGCACCAAGGTGGTGGGGAGAGTGGGATGAGGACAGGGAATTTGACGTGTCCAGCAGGACCAATAGCACATAGCGGAGAAATGGTGGCACCTCAACACTTTATCTGACAGAGTTTTATTCATGGGAAAAGGGTAATTGGCATGAAAAATTGATTAAAAAGGCTCAGTKGATAGTGCTTCTGTTTACAGAATCACAGGATGGTTGAGGTTGGAAGGGACCTCTAGAGATCATCCAGTCCAACCCCCTGCTCCAGCAGGGACACCCAGAGCACGGGGCACAGGGCGGCATCCAGGTGGGTTTGGAGACCTCCAGAGAAGGAGACTCCACAGCCTCCCTGGGCAGCCTGTGCCAGGGCTCTGTCACCCTCAGAGTTTAGTTTACATTTTTTTTTCATGAACTTTTGTGTCTCTAACTTGACACTTTTTGGCCCTTCAGGGGTCACTTTGAAGAGCTACGTAGTGGGCTGCTGGTTRTGAGACTTTGTTTATTGCCACGCAGCTAAAAGGCTGACCAGTGTGTCACCCAGGCAGTTAGCATTGCCTTTAATCCTTAACTGGAGAATGGAGCCTTTCAGAAGTGAAATTCTTCAGACTGACAGCTAATAGGATTTGCAGACAAATTAACTTCAAAATGAAAAACTAGCCAGACAATCTTTTCCCATTATGGAAATATAGAGAGGCTGAATTCTACATGTGTGAAACATAATTGATGTATATTGAACCACTCGTGTGTGTCATTTTGAAATGAAGTTAAATAGTCAATAAATGGTGCAAATACAATTGAAAAGTACTAATTTGTTTTCAAATTACAACTAATGGTGCCTGTTATTGCAAGGAAATGAAACCATGAGTTCATGATTTTTGTTAAACTACATAGAAATGAATAATAATCAAGTGGAGAGGAAAAGCAGCTAAAAAATGCAAGATATCATAGTGAAACTATACACGATCTGCATTTAAAAATAATTCAGAATGTCTCAGAATTTAAGAGCAGTGAAAAAGTAGAGCGGAATGGTGAAAAATGTAAGTAATTAAAAATTTTAAGAATATTTTWAAAATARTTATTAAAAATTAACGCTATATTACACTTCCAAATCATACTCTGCAGACTTTGTAAAGAAATTATTAATAGGGCAAAAAAGTGGCATTGAAAGAAATTTAGTAAATGACATCATAGAAGTATTTTAAAGTTGTCTTTAGTTAAAACTTCAAATTTTAAGTTTTTAATTAAAAATATCTACCAAAGATTTCACCAACATTTATTTTCTTTGCAACTGCAAGAGAAGATTGTATAGCCAGTATCAATGAAGACTTGTGATGTATACTACTGGCAGTATAGAGGGAAGTATAACTCTTGCCTTGATAAGTTAGAATCTAATTTAAGGTGAGATGCTTCCAGAGAATGTGCAAAATAACACAGGTAGTGGGGAAGACGAGATGCATAATGATAACCGATGATGATATAATCTTTGTTATTATAACCACCAGATGACCAGAAGAAATGGAAAACAATTGTTCAAGAAACCTCAYAATCTCTCAACAGATGGTACTGATATGAGAATACCACATCAAATTTTAGTATGCATATTTAAATGTATTTAAAAATATATTATGAAGTGTAGAAAATATCTTTGGCTGTTAAGGATTGTTTAATTTAAAAGAGAGAAAGTAGTAATAACCACTGATGGCAAATACGTATGACCATTTCAAATCCAAATTTATGGTAGAAAACCATWATGGATGCAAAAAAAATGCCAACAGAATGTATGGATTTTCTGTCTCATCAAAGGAAAGAAATATATGATTTATCTGAACACCACTAAAGGTCACTTAAAGGGATTACTTAATATTTTTGGATGAACATCTTGGACTATCAGATGCAGAAATTTGGGAAATGGCATCTAATAGGCCTTCTCACCTTAAAAGCTTTGAAATAGTCATTCTTAGCTGCAGTTTCAAAACAATTTAACTTCAGAGAGCAAGTTCTTAAAATGGTACATTAGAGCTAAGCTGAACATTTGCTATTAAATGTCAAAGTTACACATCATGAAGTATGGAGATCAATGTCCTCTGAGGGGTATGTACGTGTTCCCCATCTGCGTTTGGGTGACAGTGAAACTCATGTGCTTTCACAGAATCACAGAATCTTCAAGGTTGGAAGGGACCTCTAGAGATCATCTAGTCCAACCTTCCTGCTCAAGCAGGCACACCTAGAGCATGTGGCACAGGGTGGCATCCAGGCGAGTTTTGAAGACCTCCAGAGAAGGAGACTCCACAACCTCCATGGGCAGCCTGTGCCAGGGCTCTGTCACCCTCACAGTGAAGAAGTTCTTCCTCACCTGGAGATGGAACTGCCTGTGTTTCAATTTAGACCCATTTCCCTATCCMTATTGTCCTATCGCTAGCCACCAATGAGAAGAGCTTGGCCTCTTCTTCCCTACATTCTCCCTTCATGAACTTATACATGTAACCAAGGCCACAAAAATTGTCCTTCCATGTTACCAAGGCCACAAAAAGTGTCCCTGTTATGCTGAAGATAAATTTTGCTGTGGAGAGTGAACACTGAAGAGAGTATAGTGAGATCATGAGGCTATAAGTAAAGGAAACATTCATTAAAAAATACATATATTATCCTAGGTCTAAAAAAGCCTCTAAAGCTCACTTGTGTGCCCCATGTGAAGCTACATGCAGAAAGCTCAGTTTCACAAGCTGTCACCCATTTTCCATCTCAGAATAGGATTATTCTGCAAGGGACGATGCCGCCTCAGTGACGGCAATAACAGACAGATTATATTATGTTAAAGTTCTTCAAAATGTCATGAAAAAAAATAGGCTGTGGAAACTTTTTCTTGTAATAAAAAAAGGATTGTGGTGGCCTTGTGGTAGGACTTGGGGCTTAGAATTCACTTCCACGAGATTTGAGCATATGTTTGAAATTAGCATGTATTTAAGTGCCTGCAAAGAATAGCTAACAAATAAGGCCATTTCTTTAAAGGACTTAATAGTTTTTTCTGTGATTCGTACCAGAACACAATTGTTTTCCTGAAACTTGGCACGTGATGAAAAATCTATGAGAAGGGTAAATGTCTGAGAGACCAAAATATTCTAGAAAATATTTACTGTGCATARATGGGGGAAAAAAGTGAACAGTGAGATACTTATATGTTAATAGAGAGGGAAGTACGTTTTGYGCTCAAATATTATTATATTTTATTTCCACACTTTCTGTTCAGAGCAGTAATTCTTAGAGCTGATGTTTGCTCTTTGTTGCCCATAGTACAAATAAAAAGCAAAAACATACAAGTTCTTAAACCTTTGAAGTCATCTGACTGAATAGAGATTGAAAGTTCTCTTAGCAGTTCTACAAAGTAAGTGAAATATGGGAAGGAGTTGTCCACTTCCAAGTTTTTACACATTCAACATCTGTCTGAAGAAGCACTGCCTTGTTTGTCTATTTTGTTTGCTTTTTAATGGTCACACATATCATGCCAGCACATTGCGGGCCACCTACATGGATCTAGAATAAAACACAAGGTACTTTGTTTCMAAAGAGCAATTTTACTTTTTGAGTGAAATTATTTGGCGCATTTCTTTCCCCAGACACGATGCACTATGAGAAAAAGCCCAGGATGATGCCAATATGCATCCTTCCTCATCCCACACTCATGTGGGAGAAGAGCACTTTCCTTAATTGCCTACAGTGAAAGTAAACRTTAGATTATATTGAATTTCCCTTTKTTTTGTGTCAAAAAATAAATGTGAATTGCTAGGCTTATACTCACCAATACAATTCTTTCCATCCTCAGCAAGCTCATACCCTTCATAACACTGACAGACGTAAGAGCCAGGCGTGTTCACACAGATCTGCTCACAGGCATGTTTCTCCACAGCACAAAGATCCTCAGCTACAAAATATAATTCCATTAGTGTGAATTTTTTTTTCTGACCTTCCATGTCGCACATCTAGACWATAGATTGAAAATACATTTCAGGAAGTCATAAAGAACTGTTCAGAGATGAGCTCATTTAACACAGAACATGTTAGTATTCTGGTGGAGCTTTTATGCCAGGAAGAATGACCACCCAAAGCTTTGTTCCTTTAGCTAATGACAATGGTTATTGCTGGGCCCAGTAATAATAAAAGTTTATTTTATGTTAAAAAAAAGTCAGAGGAGGAGCATAGAAAAGGAAAGACGAGGAGCCCAGGGGACAAAAGGTCTTTGGCATCTCTAATTTTTGAGTTTTATCATTTCAGTTTTATGAAAACACCATCACAAGTCCTCCCTCTCCCCTGCTCCATGCAAATGCCACATTAGAAAAAGGACTACAACAAATGAGGTCACTCCTACTGAAGCACATTTGGGTTTTTTTACAATAGATTAAAGCTATCGGAGGACCCCAAGTTTCCCTAGTGAAGTCTGTGGAAAGCAGAAGCTTTTGTGTTGCTCAGGATCMGACCCAAAGACTGCTCAACACATAATTAACGTTTACAGCTACAAAAAAAGGCTTTTGGAGCAGGTTTAAGGAAACTGGCCAAGCAAATACACATTTTCTTTTATAGTTGTGTGCTTTGTATCAAGTGACATGATGAACAGTATAAACAATACTTTAACTCTCTTGTTCCAGTATAAACACCCACAAATAGATAATTTTTCAGGTTGTTTCAGCCACATTTGTTTTTTGTACTACACTGTGTGTTAATGTAAGATTCAAAACTATCTAGGGAAGGATCTAAGTGATTAAGTTAAACAAACATACAGAGTACAGAACGCATGATTACAAAACAGCCCCTGCCTGACAAAAGCCACTTGTTTCTAGAATCAGAAATCTCTCTATTAGACATTAACCTTTTCCAAGATGAAATATGGTCTGCAAAACTCTTTGAAAGAAACAAATCTAAACAAATTGTTTGCCTGTCAAAAATGATAAGTTTTGAAATATAAGCATTTACACTCTAAATGCAAGGTCATCTAGGGAAATAAGAGTGCAAGTGCAGCTTCCCATATGTAAAATGAGCAACACAACCTTCAGCTCTTTCATTTTTGGTGAAAGCCGTTTTGGACCCCACATTTCCAAGGAGGTGCAAGTATTATTAAAGTGTAATTATAAATGCAAATGAATGCAGTTGAAGCCCTCACCTGGGGTTCTGACAACTGTCTCTCTGAAGACCTATAGTGGATTTTCAGAAAGAGAATAGGCTGTTTGAAAAAGCAGTTCTTGACCATATTCTTGTCTTGGCTCAGGGGCCAAGCCAAATAGTAAACAGAAAATGTTTCATATTTAATTAAATTATTTGGTTTTATTTGCAGGAAAAAAAAAAAAGAGAAATGTTAAATTTGCTCTATTTATCACAAAGCATTCCCCTATAATTGATACACACATGATAAATGTATATATCTGGTAGGGGTTGCTGGTGGGAAGGACAAAAAAAATGAAGATTCTTAAAACTAGCCCCTCGTAGCTCAACTACAGAGGAGATGAACAGCACAAAATCCTGAGGTCTCTGAATGCACTTCCACACTCCAGAGCGAACGCCCCAGTCACTCCAGTGCTGACATTCTCCTGTTCCCACATCTATTTACTGAGGCTCTGACAGAAACCATGTGCCCCACTGCACATGGAAGAACTTTAAATCCCAAGTAGCAGAGCAGTCTCAGCTATAGAGATGATCTCCTATTTCAATGGTTGTTAAAAAGCTGGTGTAATGTGTAGCAGCAAGAGGCAGAGACTAAGAACCCTCTAATCCTAGACCACCTGCGTGTTTTAAGATGCTCTCCTGAGAAACAGAGCATGGGAATTCAAAGCCTGTGSAGCAAGGCAAGGATCTGAGCCTGGGTCCTTCATCTCTTCTCTAAGTAACCTGTTGCAAGGGCAACATCCTGTCCTCTCACCAATACTGTCTCCTCCATTTTTTTTTTCTGAGAAGCTATTTTCCAAAATTTTGCTTCTGGCTAAAGTCATTTTGTTGAGTTTGGTCCGAATCTGTGAACTATCCAAGGACAACAAACTGCAATTTTATCCAAACACATTTCCAACAAAAAAAYAGCAATAATGTCATACAAATTTTGTTAAAATAATTCTGGACACAGAAATAAAGAAGGCATGCCTATTTAATGTAGTCTGCTATTAATAAGAAGCAAGCAAAAGCAGATAAAATCAATCCTGCTTACTAAGAATATAACTAAACTTCAGTACAGTTTGTTATTGCAAACTATAATTAAAGTCAATTACTTAAAATTGAAAAAGTCAGCCCTTTTTAAGGAGGAAATGAGTGCAATATGTAAGATTTTTGAAATTATTCACTGAAAGGTTGTAAAATCCTTGTATTTCATGGATTAGGATTTTTTTTTGTGAGTGGCAATTTATTTCACAGTTTTCTGTTATGAGGTTGGTTACACCTTCCTATACTATCTGGTACTGGTTGCTMTTTAGACCAGATACTGGAATCATTAGACCACTGCCCGTCAGAAGATAAATCAGTGCTTTGTTTGGTTATTGCTTCATTCTTGAATGTATTACACCAATAGAATTCAAATACAATTTTATCTACTGATGGTGCATTTCTGAATAGAGTCAGGTATAAAAATTAACTTCATGTGTTTTAGAAAGGCTTATGAGAACCTTATCATTTGCAAAAAAAAAAGAAAAAGACATATAGCTTTGCCTTTTCATGTTCTTTGTGCTGATCAGCATTCATTCTATACTGAGCTCAGTCCTCTTTATGAACCCAACCTAAAAGATATGTAATGTAAGCACATTTTAGGAAAGGAAGTTGAAAAAGATAACATACTGCTGCAAGTCTTCTGGTCAGCATTCAGAATGTATCCTTGTTTACATCTGCATACGTAGGAGCCAGGGGTGTTTATGCAGAAGTGATCGCAGTGATGTTCAACTATACTGCACATATGGGGCACTGAAAGAAGGAAGATAAAGTTTATTAATTGCTAGGATTAATTTCTGATGGTCAGAATGAACTAAAAAAACAATTTAAAGAATCCTTAGTCACTTAGAAATCTGAATTAAATTTCAACACTCAAGAAAAAAATGGAAGCTTTATCCTATATTTGGTTTTGAAAAGATTCCTTACTAAACAGCAATACATATTTATTCCTAACAACAACATGGTCATAGATATTTTCTGTCTGGTTGACAGCAAGGGCATATTTTGGGGCATGGATTTACATGGAATGGAATGCCTGGAGATATATACAATAAAAAAAATTTACAACAGAGCATCTGGAGACATTAGTTATTTAGTGGTTCCAAGAACACAAAGAAACAAACCTAYCACACTTTCAAATTTCCAAAACAAATGGACTTTAAATACAAACTGTTCTAGAGAACATTTAATTTCTTGAATAAAGAAAATAACCCTAAATTAGAATAATAAAGTGGAATAACTAGAAAACATTTTGATGAAGAATCTTGCCTGCTTAGTTATTAATGTTGACAATCCTGTGAAAAATATATGACTGCTATATATGTGGTAATGTATCTACAAGGCTCAGGAAGCAGGAGCCAAGCACTGTTATACAACAGAATAAAGCTCTTCTGAGTTCATTTTCTACTTCTTTCCGTTTTCAGTCTCCCATAGCATGTAGCAAAATGCAACAGAAGAGACTGGAGGAAAGGAAAGGATTAGTGCACCAGTTTGGTCATATTCGTTGATGACTTTTTTTTTTCCAGACCAGTGGAAAGAAATTTCCCTGATAATTTCTTTCCACTGGAGCTTTGCTTATATGTCATTTCTGTAATACATATGTAGACTCCTTCTCAAAGAGCACTGTGTAAAAAAAACATATATTTCATTCAATAAAAAACTAAGGATTGATACTTTCCTTATTGTCCCGTTGTCAAACCTCAAAATTTATGGAAAAGATATTCAGTAGTGATCTTCTAACAGATACAATAGAAGCCTGATAAATAACTTAACATACGGTATAAGTGATATTTATATAAGAAAAAAAAAAAAGTGGTTTTGAAATACTATGTATCCAGTCTTCAGACAGGCCACCAGAGTTATGCACTTACTACYAGTAAACAAACCACCACTATTTCCAATTCTCCCAATCAGCCTTTTGGAACCCATAATTTTCTGTCAAACTAAAACTTCTGTTTATGTGAATACAGATCTACTGGAACTTCTTGTCTTTTCCTTTCTTTTTTTCTGTTGTTCTGAAAATAAGGTTAATGATCTCTGATATGTTTTAAACTTGAGTTTTCTCATGGTTATTTTTCACTAGCTTTCAACATTGAGTATAGTTGATTATAACCAGTGGGGATTTGGGGGATGCTGATAGTTTTAACCTTGTTTTTGTTCCTCCTTTTCTCCAACGCAAAATGGGAACAATGTCACTATCACAGCACAAGGACAAAAACTTTATTTGTTCCTGTCTGCTCCATCCCAAATTCTCTATATTTCTCATTCTCCTTTTATTCAGTCTTCACTTCTTTTCTGGATACTGTCCCCATTTATATTTCCCATATTTTGAGTTCTCATTCCTGATCTCATTCCTCATGCCTTCAATTTGCCAGGCTACTCTTGCTGCTAATAAAAAGAGGGCACTGGGATCTCTGGCCTCTGCTGCTGTGTCTGACATCACCAGACCTTTAGTAACCTGTGGCAGCAACTGCAGGGAAAGTCCCCTTTAGCAGGGAATGAATCTATTCCAATAGATTCTTTGGGAATTTAGCTGCCAAGCATTGAGGAATCTCCACCATGCATGGGTAAATTGAGGTTAATTATATTTATTTTTCACTTTCTCCATTTTTCACTCCATTACTTGGCCAGATTTTGCTATTATCTTAATGGGAACTGCAAAGGCACCTTCCCACAGACTTAAAGGCAATCCAGACACAAGGGCAACTGAGGAGCCAAGTTCTTTTTCCAGAGCATGAAACCTAGCAGACTGGGTCTCGGGAGACTTAACTATAGCAATGCCTTAAGTTGCTTTAGGAAAGGAATCGAGGGGGCCCTATGTTCAGCTCAACAACAGCTGTGTTCCTCTGTGCTCCCACTGGGGAGAACTTTAAAAACGAATCATATTTCCTGGAAAAAATCTAGGTGTTTTGGGAGGAGGAGCTAGGAGATGTTTAGATGCTCTCAAAAGTCAGTAAGCTGAATGCTGCTTTAGAGACCAAACTTGACAAAACATTAATGATCCATTATTTAGTCCTTGAAGTTGAAATCCATAGGATGCTTTTTTTTTTTAAAAAAAAATTATTATTATATATTATTGAATCTGGCCCTGGGGTTTTAAGTGKTTTTTTGGATCTCACCTTGGATTCCTGAAACAGCAAGTGTTGTGAAGGCATTTTCTGAGGAGTCAGCAACAACACCTGTCACTTCCACACTCCTCCATCTGGAAGGTGTGATGGGTCTATTAAGGCTCTTGTGTATTTGGATTAACAGTGAGCTGTACAACTCTAATACACTTACTGGACCCTGCCTAGTTGGAGATATAAGCCTGTTATTCAGAGTAAACAGCATTTGTACTGGATTGCTTTCTAAAACACAATTAAAAATCCAATAAAATGAAGTTCTGCAACATTTGATGTTCATTTCATGTGAACTCTCAATCCACATTTAGTTTACTCCTTTTTTTTTTTTTTAATGTATCTTACTATGCCAGCTAATAATACAGCAAGCAAGAAACAGGAAAAAATCTATTATCTGRTGAATGTCTGTGACAGTATTTTGTGCTGATGCAGTTCAGCTGGAGCCCTGTTACTCTTTGAAACRATTCTGGAAAAGACCAAGTAAGGAAAATTCTCCAGACTACTCTCACAATAAGCCCCAGTTCTTTTCTGGCAAAAGCACCCTTAGGACAAGCGAGCATTCAGTCTCACCATTCATTCTTTCTCTGGTCTCTGCTGAAAATGCCTGAGTTTTAAGCTAAAATTTTATGAAAATCTTTCTTAATTATCTGAGGAAAAATGAAAATAGAAAATTATATTTAAGACAGACTGGAATAGATCTTTTCTATTAGTCTAATAAATGAAGTACACCACAAGATTTTTAAAAGGTAATTTCTTATCAGATAACTACAAATGGAAGAAATTTCTGTCTTGGAAAGTAAAACCTATTATAACTTTATTTATTGTATGAATGAATAATATCATAGTAAAGACTGTTTCTAAATTTCTGTGTATAAAATGGAAAAAAAAAAGGTATCAAGTCTCTGAGTTTCTGTGTCTCTGTGTCCCATTTCCAGTCATGGGCATGGTCAGAGATAAGTGTTTATATATAATTATTACTTAAGCTTTGGAAGAAGAGTACCATGGACTTCATGGGATAGTTTTTTAGCTAAAACACCAAAATGTTTATCAGTTTATATTGTCAATACTAACGGAAAACATATTTAAAATCAATAGATGAAATAACTTATGTAGCATTTAAATGGTAAAAGGTTATAATATCATTGCTATTATGCAATGAATAGGAAAATCATGATATGTATATTTGTCTCCCTGCTTATGACCACTAGGAATTAGATCACATTTTATGGCACTCAGCAATAGAATTAGCTTTTTCCCATATGTATGATTACTGTTCTGAATGTTCTCTGGCTAGCTGCCCGCTCTTCAATGCGTATGTTCTCACAGACTAGCTCCCATGTTAAAGAACAAATCTTAGTGATTGCCCATGATGTTTTTGTGTGTTTTTCTTTCACCTCTACATTCAAATCTACAGATAAATGCCTTACCACAGAGTTTTGTCTGGAAGGCAGAGGTCAGTGTCTCAATCTGACTGAAATTAGCAACCAGAAACACATGCTCTTCATGTGGTTCACTCCCAATGGACTTGAGCGTGTTCATATCCACTTTTCCCACTCCAATGGCAAAAATCAGGATTCCTGAGTTACGAGCTTTAGCAGCAACCTCTCCCACTGGATCCTGAGGTCTCCCATCAGTCACTATCATGATAATTCGGGGCACGTTCTGGTTCAGAGGTCGAGCTCCTTCTGCCTCTGAGAAGGCGATGTTCAAAGCATACTGGATAGCCAGGCCAGTCATGGTGCCAGTTGCCAGGTGCATCATTCTCTTCACGGCCCTCTCGATATCCTGCTTCCTCCTGAATGTCTTCAAGGAGAACTCGTGCTTGACCGTGCTGCCATACTGAATCAGGCCTACTCGTGTGGCATCAGGGCTGATGTCCAGGAACTGCAAGATGGTTAAGATGAACTCCTTCACTTTCTCAAAGTCATACGGACGGACGCTGCGAGAGCTGTCGATGATGAAGACGAGGTCCAGGCGTTTGTTGTTGCAAGTGTTCTCTGGAAGGCAAAATGAGAACAAATATATTTTACAGGAATTGAGAAAGGCAGCGAAGATCAGGTTGACCTGATGTTTCAAATGTGTTGTCTAAATGAATGCACCCCCAAGTATTGGCAAAATATAGGAAAAATAAGAGATGCCAGAATTAAGACTACTTGAGCAATCTGAATTTGGCCCTGGAGGGATAAGAAGAGTTGCCAGCTACATGATCAGTACACTATTTTTTTTTCCCACAAGCTCAGTGCCCAGAATGGGTAATGCCAAAGGCACAGGCAGGTATCTATACCATACCCTAATTGCCAGTTGCTGAGGTTGTGACCTCATGCCTTCTATACCCTGCACAGGATGAAAAGCCCCTCTGAATTATTTAGCTATTACTTTAGTGGGCTGCACTGTATGTGTTTTGTTACAGTGCTTGAGAATTTAGAAATCTGCACGAGATAACGCCCTGGTGAGACAAGATGGTGTTAGTCCTCCATTATAAATAGTGAAATAGAACATGAGAATTTATGGTCAAAAGCATCTGTTAATTGCAGTGACTGATATGCAAAGGGACTGGTTTTTCAAGGAACTTGGCATTCAGCAGCACTGTACATGTACAAAGTCCAGCTCTCCATGACGTCAGCTGCAGCTGTGAGGGCTCAGCACTTCTGCAAATCAAACCCCATGATTTCAAACACATAATTAATGGCCATCTGGGAAAAGCCCAGTCTATGGGACTAGCTCAGCATGAAACAGAAGTTCTGTGGCTGCAACTGAGATACAATCCAGTTGTCTGCAGTGGAATTTAATTTGGCCAAAAGATCACTCTCTATCTCCTAAWTTTTTCTGCTTCACGCATTCAACACAATCTATTTTCTCCACTAGCYATTGAAATACTGTAGAATATGTCTGATCATTGTACAGACAGCTAGACTGAGTTGTCATGGATGAGAACAGAAGTCAGGAAGTCAACTGTACTACAAGCCTTACGGGACTTTGGGTACAACCTCTGGCCTCTGTTCAGCATCCTTTAGGATTTTATAATATCCTGAAGGGTGTATGATGTAGGTATGAGCTGCATGGAGAGAATGCACATGGCCTGCTTGCTAGCTCTTCCTATGCAGAAGACTAGTACTTGCTAGGCTTGAACAAGGGGGCATGAGCCATGGAAACASTTGCCACAGAAGGCCAAGTGATAAAAACATAAATGGACCTTGAAGGACTTAAAAGGAGGCCCATGAAAAGAAATCAGTTTAGAATTACTAGTCACATTAAAGACCTCTTCAGATCAAAATATTYCTAATCCACAAAAGTGTGATGACTGAGTGACATCCACAGTATGTTTTTCCTTGTTATTATACTTTTTCCCTATGCATCCACTYTTAACTGATGCCAAAAACAGGATACTGGGTTAGACAGACTTACGGCTTCAATCAATATATCTGTTYTTACATTCTTAAATTCCTGTGCCTATGACAAAATGATGTGTAGCTAGTTRTCTGTCTGCTGGACTAGAAAGGTTAAAGGTAGCTAGAATGTTCATCAAACTGCAAAATCATCTTCATCTTARGAAACTGGGATGCCTTTACCCAGTAGACTCCGTTCTACCCAAGCCAGTTTAATTGCCAGAGCACTATCATCCAACTTGCACACAGAATGAAGCAGTTGCCCTTTGGAGAAAGCAGTATTTGATCRAATAATTAAAGGTCATATCATACTGCACAAACACAAGTGGGCCAATTAGAGACTCCATTGGAACAACATCTGTCTGCAGACGGSCCTTTATATGAGCTCACTTGTGAGCGGCTGATGAATGCTAACCATGTATTTCTGCCAGGGAGAGGGCTGAGAAAGATGCCTGTTTTCGCTTGTTAACTCAGAGGCCTCTTTCATAGATTACCAAGAACCTTTGTGGGCACAGAATAAAAATGCTCTTTGATGACAATAAAATGACTGCCTGGATTTATTCATGTGCACTCTACAGCACGGCTTTATTCATAAGCATAGGGATATGCTTGAGTTGCTTATTCTTTCCAAATGAGAAGATGCTGAATGCAAACCAGACGGAGCAGAAACAAAAATCCAGTTCTAATGGGATACAGATATCATGATCTATTAACTATTTTCCATCATCTTATCTTATTGGTTTAGATATATGATTATTCCTTAGTTTTAATAAGATAGCAAGAAATACTGCGGCATAGTTCTAAAAGAGATAAAACTGAGATATGATTTATGTCAGCAAGGCAAGCATAAAGGAAAATAATTACAGAAAAAAGTCTAGGAATGTATGTTTTTGTTTAGGGAAAAGACAGTGGAGAAGTATAAAATGGTAGGTATTTTATTTCCCGTAAAAAAAAGAAAAGAACAACTCAAAGCTAGACTCTTATTCACTTTTGAATTCAGGGTGGATTTTGTAATGTTATTGTAATTATTAATGTTGACTTTGTTGAGCTGGGTTCAGTAAAAAATAAAGTATTACTGTTTTATTAAGAAAACCTCTAATTGGGTAATATTTTGAGGAGTGGTAATCAGTACTGAGTAACATCCATTGATTTTCCTTAGCAGTTCCAAGGTTTTGCRCTTTGTCTGGATACTAAGACATTGTCTTCTTACCAGGCTGTACATTTTAACAACAAACTTTCTACTTCTAAGTCAGCATAGGTTTTTATATTGTAAACATGTATATAAAAATAATCAGTGCATAATTTACATTAACCAAAGTCATGACAGCATGCAAAGAAAGGTACTAATGGCAAAAGCAAAGCAAGAAAGGATTAATGCTTTATTCAAAATTTTCTCTTCCATCAACATATAGTTTCTGTATAAGTCACAGCTACCTTGATGTCAACTTCACAAAAATACAATATAAGGAGGCTTTTGGATCTCATTGGGAGGATCCAGTTACAGATATTCATGTAGAATAAAGCTTTAAAGAATATTGAGACTCTTAATTTCCTCTGAAGCTGAAAAATCTATTTTTAATTTCTCTCCTCCCCCCAGTTTCCTTCTGGCTTTGCCTGAGCACTGCTTGACTCTGCACATCCACCCAGGGCCCCCCTGGCTGAGAAACCTTCCCAGCTGCAGAGCGTTGATCTGGGGGMTCTCCAGCCCATGCTGGGTCAGATGCAGCAACTGCCACAGCTCTCCTTTCTCTCCACAACTGTGGAGCTGAAAGACATCTCCAGGACATCTTCATTTTCTCAACTTTTCTTCTCAAATGTCAGTGGATGGACTTTCTTCCTTGCCCCTACATCCAAACTACCTTCAGCAATTCAGAGAAGCTGGGAGATGGCAAGGCACTGTTGGCTCCTCCTCCACAAGCAGAGAAATGACCAAAATAAATGACAGTAGGAAAGCCTTCTCCTAGACAGGCCTGCATCATGAGAGCCCTGAAATCCCAGCAGAGAATGGTACCAATCTGGACCTTTATCTGTGCATCCTCCAGCTTCACTCATCTCCCATGGCTCTCACAGCTCTAAGGGGACTCTCAACACTGATCTCTGCTTTGCCTGTCACTGAAATTTCACCACTGTCCTCAAGAAATACAAGCAAGCACAACTGTCTTGAAGATCTGGCAATGTGTCCATTCCCTTGCACCTTACTTGTAGTTTTTAGCAATCTACGTTGTCTTAATGTGCTACAGAGCATCTTCCTTCCATGCTGTTTATATTCAAAAGCGACTAGTAATTCTAAAGTTATTTTAGTAGTAACTGAAACAGTGCCAGGGAAGTTTCCTGGACACTGGACTTTAAAAATATACTTTAAACTGATTACTGTGCTGTAAAACCACTAGAACAGCCCCGGTATTGTTTGGCCCAGGACAACTGTTGCTTTCTCAAACAATACTGGGAAGAACCACGAACCAGGGACTCAACCCAACAGACTGTGCAGATGTAACCACTCTGGAAGCAAAGGAAATTTAATAGTACAGAAGCAGAACATTTTATACCATTGATCTCACTGACAGAGAGCAGTCCAAGATATAGACTAATATCCGAGGCCAGCTGGCCTGTAYCCACCATATTAAACCCAGCTTTCTGCTAAAACAGAGTGGCTGTAGGCGAACTGCCTATCAGGAATASGTCCACTGCAATTCCTAAAACATTCCTTATTGTTCATACCTAAATCAAACCTGGGGATTGCCTGGAGATGGCCCGTCACTGTGGGCCAAAGATAGCTCTGGAGCTTCAGCAGTAACAAAAATGATGAAGTTCCAGTGCCCCTAAAAGTCCCCTGGCACAGTTTAATTTAATCAGTATAGACATACCCACAAACATTTCCATTTTGGGATATTCAAACTGAACACATTGAAAAGGCAGAAGTTTTAGATGGTGGTTTCTTAAAAGTTTTTGCAGACCAGATTTCTTCAAGAGGTCTGTTGTTTAGCACTTACAATGGATTTATTTATGTTTTATTATTGTCATAGAACTTTATGCCTCCTTAAAGCATTTTGTAATGTGTATATTATTTCTTTGATTACTCTCCTAATAAATGAGAATAAATAATTGTTAAAGAAGGCAATTGCAAACAAAATTGCATTTGCATACAAAGCAAAATGAGTTCGGTTATCTCAGTTTGGTTAATACTACAGTAATGTYAAGATATTCAGACACTGAAAAAGACATTTATAGCAAGTATATATTGGTTTCACAAAGATTTTTATTATACAAAAAGACTATTTAAGAAAGAATAAAAGATGAGATCAGTTAAGAAAAAATGAGATCATAGAATTTTTTTTGTCTGAACTGCAAATACAATAATGGCRATTTTCAAACTCGATATATTGTGTATCTTACCTCATTCCACATTACTGTAGATATAAAACTAAACACCCTATGACATTGCCAGTAATAACACCAAGTTTATTTTTACATTTTATCTTTGTAACAGAACAAAAGCCCTCACTGAATAAAGGAAATAGAGGAATAGAGGCATAGAGGAAAAAATACTTTCTCAGCTAGCACATTATAAAACTTAAAGCTTCTAAATTTTCTCTTCTTGCTTTGCCATTTTC